ACGTTCTTTTTTGTTTGAAAACTGAAATAACAAACAAATCGCATTTTGTATGAACTTTTCGAACCGAAACCCACAACAAAAAAAAATCAATCAATCAAAAACCATCGTGACTTTGTCAATTTTTGAAACACAAAACCAAAAAACAAATCGATCGATATATATATATATATAAAAATATCACCACCTCCATGTTTGTTGCCACCTCAATGCCTCACGTATAGAAAACCACCTCAGACACCAGCCGAGTAAGTCTATGTACAAAAAACAAATGTGAACAACAAATGAAACCAGAATGCTAACCAAGACTAAACCCTTAGTGTTATGTTAAGATCGTATCGTCCCCCGATTAATCCGCCTGTTCGTATCAGTAATACAAAACGAAAACGAAACCAAAGACAGTATGAAATAAGTAAACAAAATTCTAAAAAAACAAAATAAGCAATCTAGAGTCTAGACTGTACCTATGAATCAAGCGCCTACTCAACTTACTCACCACAACTCACCACTCCAGCCATCTTATTTTGGTGTGTTTCAGTTTCCGTTTCCGTTGTATTTTTTTTTTTTACAACTAGAGTAGAATTGCTATTCGTAGAATGTAGAATCTAATGCTTATTTACATCAGCACTTTGATGGCTACTAATTGTAAAAAACAACTTTTGGAAAACAAACAAAATCAAATCGAACAATAATATGAATAATGATCTCGAAACAGGCCGTAAGAAAGTCCGTCAAAATTCTGTAATTAATTTTAGTGCCTAGACATTACTTGGCGTAGTACTAGAGAGCTATCTAAAACGCTTGCCAGCAGCTCGACATTTGACTAATAGACTTCTTTCTGCATCCCCCGTCTGCGTCCATCCCGTGCCGCCCCATCAGAGGAGAGGGCGACCCAGAGTTCATCAAGCGTCAGGACCAGAAGCGCTCCGACCTCGATGAGCAGCTGAAAGAATACATCAGCGAGTGGCGCAAACAGAGATCCAAGGAGGAGGATGAGCTGAAGAAGCTGAAGGAGAAGCAGGCCAAGCGCAAGATCTCGCGTGCCGAGGAGGAGCAGAAGATGGCTCAGCGCAAGAAGGAGGAGGAGGAGCGCCGCGTCCGCGAGGCTGAGGAGAAGAAGCAGCGCGAGATCGAGGAGAAGCGCATGCGTCTCGAGGAGGCCGAGAAGAAGCGCCAGGCTATGTTGCAGGCCATGAAGGACAAGGACAAGAAGGGACCCAACTTCACCATTGCCAAGAAGGAGGCAGGCGTGGTAATTATATGAGATTCCATCAATGCAGCCTACTGATACGCCTCCGTCTCCCCCACCATCTGTCTCTTTCTCTCTTCCTTTTTTCTTTTTTCCGTTCTTTTTTTTTCGTCTTCATTTTGTTTTTCTGTTGTTCTTTTTGATTTCATTTTTGATTCCATATGAACTCCTCATGTGTCCTCGCCCACGACAACATGCGATCCTCAACCACACCTCATCTTTTGTTTTCATCAATCAATCAATCGCTTGCCATTGATATCGATCATTAATCCATTCCTAATCGTTCAACGTTAATCGTTAATCGTCTGTGTTTGGCATACAACGCTCATACGCAACCGTTAATCGTTTGTGTTCGGCATTAATTGATCATCAACGGTCATCCGAAATCGCTCATCGTCTTCCATCGATCGTTAATCGTTAATCGTCGGTTTTTGAACTTATCACTTATCGCTCACTGGCCATTGTTAATCGTTTGTGCTCGCATAAATCGATCCCCGCCATTACGATTGATTGAATTATAAACACATTTATCGATCGCCTGGAAACGCTTTCAAAAAACACTCTCACACTACAATGTGAAACTGAAACAACAAAACGATTCTCTGTTTTCTTTTTTCTTTTACACAACAAACAAATAAACAAACAAACACGCATGCACACACACACACCAACCAACCAACCAACCAACCAAACAAACAACAAACAAACAAACAAACAAACACCAACAACAATTGCAACTTTCTTTGTCCGCTCATATGCGCTCTTTTCTCTGTGTGTGTCTCTCTCTCTCTCTCACTGTTTGTCTCTCTCACCACTATTGTACCGCACGTACCACAAAAATCTGAAAAAAAAAAACCAAAAACCGAAAAACACAACGCAATGTGTCTGCATCTCAAAAAATCAACAACAAATAAAAAACTAAAAAAAAAATCGATCGAATCGAAAAATGCTAAAAACAAAAAACATAGTTGGGACTCTCGTCCGCCGCCATGGAACGCAACAAGACTAAGGAACAATTGGAGGAGGAGAAGAAGATCTCGCTGTCGTTCCGCATCAAGCCCTTGGCCATCGAAGGCTTCGGCGAGGCCAAGCTGCGCGAGAAGGCCCAGGAGCTGTGGGAGCTCATCGTTAAATTGGAAACTGAGAAGTATGACTTGGAAGAAAGGCAGAAACGTCAGGACTACGATGTGAGTACCATGAAGCGAGCTAGCCTCGAAATCAAAGCTAATCCTCTCTAATTCCTCCAGTTGAAAGAGCTGAAGGAAAGACAGAAGCAACAGCTCAGGCACAAAGCCTTGAAGAAGGGTCTCGACCCGGAAGCTTTGACTGGCAAATACCCGGTGAGTTAGGGAATAGGTGAACCAGCGATACCAGGCACTCATCCACTGATTCCTCCCTTTGCAGCCCAAGATTCAAGTCGCCTCCAAATATGAGCGACGTGTGGATACACGCTCATACGACGACAAGAAGAAGCTCTTCGAGGGTGTAAGTATCGAGTATATCCTAACCATGCGGGGGTTCCTTTTGGCTGCTTAAAATCTCTGTAAAAATCTCTCAATATTATATGCACATATAGGGCTATAATACGGTCTATGCGGAAACCTTAGAAAAGACCTGGCAAGAAAGACAGGAAAGATTCACTCAGCGCACAAAATGTAAGCGTCCGGTGAATAAACGGACTCTCCTCGTCACGTGTCTTTATGCTTTCCCTATTATCACTATTATTTTATGTTTTTTTTTTTTGTGTGTCATAAACTATGTTTTCTAATTAATTTCACTGTACCGAAAGTACCGAGAGTACAGTCATGTCGTCCACCTTTTTCTATAGTCACAGGAAGTGTAGGAGCTTTGGGGTCATGCGATAGGAAACGACAGGATAAATCACCTAACGTCTACTCTTCTCTTGTCTCTTTCTATGTTCATGTAAACTATTTTTCATAATTGTGTCAACCGTACTTGTGTCTTGTGTGCTCTGCGTATCGAATAACAAACACCCATTAAATCACAAAAAAAAAAAAAAAAAACACCAACACGTTCGCAAAAACACTGAAAACACACAGGGCTGGGATGAGATCAGCAAGGACTCGAACGAGAAGATCTGGAACGAGAAGAAGGAGCAATACACCGGCCGTCAAAAATGTATGTACTGTAGAGATGAGATCAGAACCGATCGTAGTATAGGGATTTGAGGCCTGGAAACACCAGAACCACATTAATCAAATTTGTTCATTGTCGTACTGTGTTCTTTGATTTAATATTTATTTTTTATTTTAATTTTCCATTTCTCGTTGATTTATGTGTTCCGAGTTTGAAAAAAAAAGCAAAACCCTTTTGGATTGCAAATTAATGGAGTGTTACTTTGTTTCCCAATAGCCAAACTGCCAAAGTGGTTCGGCGAGCGACCAGGCAAGAAGGCCGGTGAGCCCGAGACACCCGAGGGCGAGGAGGACGCCAAGGCCGACGAGGACATCGTTGAGGATGATGAGGAGGTCGAGGAGGAGGTCGCCGAGGAGGAGGAAGAGGAGGCCGAGGAGGATGAGGAGGAAGAGGAGGAGGAAGAGGAGGAGGAAGAGGAAGAGGAGGAGGAAGAGGAGGAGGAGGAAGAGGAGGAGGAGGAGGAGGAATAAACCAGTCCACAATCCACCACAATCCACCGTGTGGGCCCCCCCGGCCAACGGCGGAGCGAGCTCTCTCTTTCCTTCACAACTTTTTCGTAAAAACAAACACTACATTTAAATACCAAAGCCAAAACATTTTAATAAAAGTAAAAGAATGAACTAAATAGTTATGATGATTAGCTTATTCGCCCAACAACAACAACAAGAACAACAACGACAACAACATCAAAAAATACTTGCTATTCAAAAACCAAATTGAACTTCTTTTCTATTGAACTTATCGAATTGAAACCAAGAAATGTACGATTTCTTTCAAATAAAACATCAAATAACAACACCAATTAATAAGTCAAGAAAAACCACCAATCACCAACCAACAACCACCAACAACAACAAAAGCAAAAGAAACAATCAAGATATTAAAGTGTGTTTTATGGCATCTTATCTATGAACAATTCCCGTTGTTTGTGTGCATGTTTGTCTGTTTCGATCGGGTCTCCAAAAGGCTACGTATTCCAAGGGGCACCAAGCTATCCTTCACTTATTTCCTCCACTATTCAGATCTCACTTTGGGAGGGGCATTTTGGTTTTCAGCAGGCGTAAGTATTTTCAGGATTTTCAGATTTTTAAAATCGATTTCTAGGCTGGAATTTAAGGTAAGGAATAGTCTTTTTTTTTTTTAATTTCTGTTTAACTTTTATTGTTTCATCTTTTTGATTTTTATTCTTTATTCTTTGTGTTGTATAGTATATATATATATATAGTTATATAGATTTAGCTGTTGTTACAATATTGTACAATTGGCTTAGCCTACGAAATGCACACAAAAAATGTTGTCTTGCGATTAGAATTAATTCGTTTTCCATATTTTCTGTTTCGGATCTCTGCAGCGTACAGTTTTATGCATTTATTTATATATTATTATATTGTTTTTTTTTGTTTTTGTGGATTACATTTGCCTAAGTCATGGTTCCATTGGTTTGGGGGATAATGGGTGGTGGGTAGGAGGCGGTTTTCATACATTTAAAGTTATAGTTCCTTTGAGCTCTGATTGTCTGTCAGCTGCAAGTAGATCGTTAGTTTGACATTGGTGTTTTGGGTACAAATAAAAACCTTCCTAGCTGCAGCAATTCCACACACAAAAATGTACAATATAGATACATACTACCTATTCGGAGAGTTATACATACATACATACACGTTTCAAAATAAGACGAACAAAAAAACGGCGTCTTAAAAGCTAGCAAAAATAGTTTTCACATTCATATACATATAAATATTTGATGTATATATTTAGTTTACATATTAAAAATGCGTTTCACAATCAGAAAACTATCCATTGAACATGTCGCGCAGCTTCACTTCAGCCAAGTTTTATGGTTGTGACGCGCAGGGCGATTATAAACATTCTCTGTTCTCGGTTAGCGAGCAAGCATGATTTTCCGTTTCTCTCTTATTTATTGTCAGCAATTCTCATTTCTCAATAAATTAAATGTATAAAAGTAAATGGGCAAAGCTAAGGGCAAGTAAGTACATGAAATAGCTTTTTACCCCGGCCCACACCAGTTAGGACGGAGTGTGGGGGAGTCCCCTCGTCTGCCTTCCCTCTGTCTGCTACTAAAAATACGAAACGTAAGACTCGCTTCCAAATTAAATGGTCTACATATTCGGTTCTCTCTTAAAGAAATCACTTGGAATTTTAATTTCCCTACAAGTTTTAGCTGGTAACCATTTAAATCGGAAGTAAGTTTCCTTGAACCAGCAGTCAAAATAATGATTTTAGCTTGGCTAACTTGCTACTCTTCACATCCATACACATATACACTTTAAAATCTAGTATAACCCTGCAGTACCAGGAATTCCCAAGGATTTAAGACATTTCGAAAGGAAATTCCCGAGTATTTTCGGAAGGAAATTGTTCAGAGTGGGGAATTCGAAGTTCCTTTGTAATTTCCTTGGGAATTCCTCCAGAACATTCTCAATTTCAATAAATTCAGTCGGAATTCATTGGGATTTCGCCAGGACTTTGTTCCTTAAGGAATTCTGGTACTGCCAGGGATCTCTCTCATATAACATACATTTAGACATTCAGTTAAATGGTATACATTTATATTTATATTATTTTTTGTGAATTTATTTAGCTTTTAACTTTATTTTTTTTTTACATTCAGTCAATTCATTGCAACACAAAAAAAAAAAAAAAAAAAACACCAACAAAGTTTTTTCTAGTCTAAGTTCACGTCTTTTTTTCTATCATCAGCAGCAAATATTTCATATACATTACGATTATTGTTATTTAAACTAAACACCTTAAAAGCTCTTTCGTTAAAAAGTTTAACACGTTCTCTCAATAATTTGTCATCTTAGTGTTTGCAAACTATAAACAGTGCTTAACTTGGTAATTTTCAAATGTCCAGATATAAACCTACATAAAGAGTCGAGCGAGATTCCTTCCTTCTTTCTTCGTTTTTTTTTTGGTAAAAATTATAACATTTATATATGTATGTACACAATTAGAGATATATTCGTGAAAAGAACAGTGTAAGTTGTACAAAAATATCTAAACTGAGTAAAAGTGTATCGAGGAGGAAGTCTTCTTACACTTTTTTCCCTTCACTTCCCCTCGTGACATTTGAATAGTACAAAAAGAGCCCCGATTTTAGCCTAGAAAATGATAAAAAATTCCATTAAACTATTGAGAAGTCCCATTGGGCGAGCTTAGACCGTGTGATTGGCGTGATTAAGGTAGGTAGTGGGTAGGCATTGCAATTACCATTCGATGGAACAATCAATTTAATAATTAAGAGATATTAATGCGTAAATTAAATGAATATGGAATCGAAGTGGACGATATATATATAGTACATATCCCTGCAACTTGAAGTCGGCACTGTGCTAACATTTACCGTGTAGATGACTTTGGTAACATTTACACGTTGCCTATATACCGGCGGCTAATTCAATTCAAAATTGGTTTTTTCTCGTGTATCGTAATTGTTAGTATTATCGTTTATCCTTATCGTTAGCCAGTGTCCTTATCGGTTGCGGTATCGGTATCGGTCTCTCTCCCTTTTCCCCCCAGCTCGCCTCAGTGCTTGCCACGCGGCGGCAGTCTTATGGGTATGTGCGGATATCATGTATCCGCCATGGGGCCATTCTTGTTCTCGTTATTGTTGCCATTGCCATTGCCATTGCCATTGCTGTTGCTGTTGCTATTGCCATTCTGTAATGGCAGCTGCTTTATCGTAATGACATCCTTTGGCTTTTGATGCAACAATTCTTGTTCTTGTTCCGGTTCCGTTTCCCCTTCCCCCTCAATCTCCTGATGATGTTGATGCTGCTGCTGCTGCTGCTGCAGATGCTGCTGTTGCCGCTGTCTGTGTTGCTGTTGTTGTGGTTGTTGCTGTTGCTGTTGCTGTTCTGGCATAATTTTATTGACATTGTACTGATTATTGTTGGCGTCCTTATTGTTGTTGCTATTGTTGTTGTTGAACTCATCCTCGCTGGACATCTGCAGCACCTGCTTGGCCTTACTCTCCCACAACATGCGATTGGCCTTTAGCTGAAAAAAAATTTGTAAAATTTAAAATTTATAAAAAATGTAAAACGAAACAAATCAAAGCGCATTTTAGCCAGCTTCTCCCAGCTTTTGCTCATTTCGCTGATGGTTGAATAATTATGCCAGGCCCTCATGTATTCCGGATTCAACTAATTGTGCTACCACCACCATCATGGCATATGTCTGTTTGCCAGCACAGCTGCATAATGTGGCAGCTATAAACATTATCAAAAGGCGGCAACTTTGGGCACAACAAATTGTTGTTTAACTTTGTGACGCGGCAAAGCGTGGAAAACAACAAATTCCAGACATTCTTCAACGATCCCAAAGGGGAAAGTCTCTTGCTATGTTTTGTTTTAAATAGTTTTTCATTTTTTAATTAAATTAAATTTATATTAAAACTTAAATATATTTATTCATGCTGCTGTTTTCTCTATTTAGTTTTCATTTCTCTATATTTTTATTATTTTTTGATGCTTCCTTTTCAGAGAGTATACATATTTCGCTATTCCCACACCCAACGCTCGTTTTAAATTGCTGCATAAATATTAAATATGCAAATATGTTTAAAATATTAAATGTTTGCGGACACCTCGCGACCCGACGACCAAGCCGTCAATTAATTAAAATATTTGCCATTAACATAAATTAAGGAATACAATCAAATTGGCGGACTTTCAATTGATATTAATTGCATTGCCATGGAACTGGGGGAGCACGAAGAAGGATGGGCAACGGGGGTATAATGGCAATGGGATAACTGTCCTGTGGGATTAAGGCCGCCCGGTGGGGGTCAGGGTAGGTGTCACAGGAGTGGCCTGTCACGGTGCCGGGGATTGCGAAAAGTTGACTTAACTTTGCCCGGACATTTTCCGCCCCCCCTTGCATGCATGTATAAATTGCCACTTATGACATCAGAGGACCGGTTGGAGGCTAGCACCGGGCAACAGCGCGGAAACATTGCAATTTTAACTGTCAAACAGAAATTGCCCCAGTGACAGGCCAATAAAAACACGCAAAAATCCGGGACATCATCGACAAAAAAAAGTAAAGGAAATAAAAAAATAAACGTTGGGCTACAAAAAAACCGAGCTGCCAAGGTGCCAGCAAATCGAATCGTATGTACATTAATTGTGTATTTCCTTCACTCTCTGCCTAGCAAGTTTAAACTTTATGCCAAATAACACAAAATAATATTATTTAAATGGGAGGAAAGTATGTTCAAATCAAGGGAGGTTCTTGCTTTAGCAAAATTGTTTAAGTTGCAGTTGAAGTTGGGTACAAAAAGCATATATTTGAATACAAATTCTTATTTAATGAGTATATTTTAAGCAAATTAGCATTAAATTTAATAATAATTCTACATACTAAATCTAGTTTAAATATTTATCCATAATTTTATATAGTTTTTGGAAAAATTCTGCATTAAATTCTTTTAGAAAAGCGTTTTTGTCTTAGAGTTTATATGGTTCATAAGTCTGCATACCAAGTTTAAGGATTTTTTCAATTTCATTTTTTATAAATTTTTTTTTTCAATTTTAAAGATTTTAAAATTGCTGCACTTTTTGTTGATAATTTTTGGAGAATAAAACTAAATTATAAAAATGTATAGCTAAGCCAAAAAAGAATTCAATTCAATTTGGAAATTTTATTCTAAATTTAACGTAAATATTTCTATAAAAAAAAACTTTAAATATCTTTAACTCAGCCAAAAATGCATTAAATTCAATTCGAAAAGCGTTTTTTGTGTTAGTTTTTATAAGTTTCCGACCCTATAAAGTATATATATTCTTGATCAGCATCAATGGGGGAATCTTTCTAGATATGTCCGGAAGAAATCGATTTTTTGGCCATTTTTGCGAAATTTGATAAGGGGTTACATCATTAAAATTTTGGATTTTGATAAAAAATTGAATTTTCAAAATTTTTAAATGAAGTATGCAGATTTATTAACTGCAGAAAATCTTGCACAGAACAGTTTTCCGATTTTAAATTAATGCTTTTTTGGCCGAGTTATGATATTTTTAATTTAAAAAAAAATCAAGAAGTTTTTTAATATAAAAAATCATTTCCGACCCTATAAAGTATATATATTCTTGATCAGCATTAACATGCGAATCTTTCTAGACATGTCAGGAAGAAATCGATTTTTTGGCCATTTTTGCAAAATTTTATAAGGGGTTACATCATTAAAATTAGCAAAAATGACCAAAAATTTTGATTTCTTAAAATTTTAAATTTGGTATGCAGTTTTTTTAAATTAATAAAAACTAACACAAAACTGCTTTCCGAATCGAAACCTGCAAGGGTATACAAACTTTGGCTGGCCAAAGTTAGCTTTCTTTCTTGTTAAATATTATTTTAACAATGTAACCCCTTATAAAATTTTCAAAAAAATTGCTAAAATATTGTTTTCCTTGGGACATGGCTAAAACGATTCAGCTGTTGATGCTGATCAAGAATATATATGATTTCTAGGATTGGAAACGCTTCCTTCACTGATTTACAAGCTCCTGACTGAAATCATGATACCCTGCAAAAGGCATAAAAATGATCGAACTCCAGCACATTCTCTATGCATTTAATAAACTTTAAATTTCGCAGCATTCCTTATTCCTTTCCCTTTAAAAGACAACCCAAAGCAAACAGGGGAAAAACAAATATATAATGAAAAGGAAATAATAAAGGAAAATTAAGGCAGGGAGGTGATGAAAAAATCAACGGGGAGATAACTCAACTTGAGTTAACTCAACTCCACTCTACTCCACTCCACTCGAGTCGAGTCGCGCGGAGTAACGAGGAGTGGACTAATTAATTAGCAGCTAATTTAACGCATCGCTGCGCCGGACATAACTCAGCAGGATGCACTCGCAAACAGAGACGGGCGAAAAGGATGCGAAAAGGATGCTGCAGGGGACAAGGACTCTATTGGTCAGTAAAATTGGCCAAGTAAACCGAAAATTTCAATTAAATGTTAGCTGGAAAACTCTGTTGGCCAGCCGCAGGCGACGACACATAATATTTGAGTGGCTTAAATCAACAACAGAATAAACTGGCTCTGCAAATCCCTGGCCTGCACAGGACTATGAATATTAATTCCTTATAATTAATAGTTCATAATAAATGCATTCAAATTGCAAATTCAAGCAAATGCAGGCGCTTAATTGGTTTTTTATGCAAATTTAAGGCAGAAATTCATATTTAAAGCTATGTTTTTGAGGGCAGTTTGTATATTTATTTTAACTTTAGCTTCTGGCTTATTTATATAACTGGAAACTAGGGTTAATCTGCGACTTTGTTTGGCTTTTCAACAGCTTATAATATACTATATCTTCCCATAAATGTTTTTGTCTTTGCTCTGTCTACCTTGTATCTTTCTTTCTTCTTAAATTATATTTTGGGATTTGTTGCCCTCATGCATACATAAGCAGCAGCCCCCCCACATGAATCAAAGTTGCTGAAAAAAATAGCAATAAATAAAAACAAAATGTAAAATAAAAGCAGTAAATACAAAAAAATAAAGAGTTATCGCTGGGTGCAACCGACAAACGTGAAAAAAAACGAAGGCAAAGTGCAAAACACAAAACAAACAAACCAAAAGAAAGCACAAATCATCACACACAGAAAACAAAAAAGGGTGAAAATAAAAAATATATAAAAAAATAAAATAAATGAAGGTGGAATGCAATCCCACATAATATTCATCATTAATTTAGATAGCTTATTTTGAAGGTGTGTGTCGAGCTTGTTTTGCGTTTGACGGCCCATCTGGATGGCCGCGTTGCACCTTACCTTCGACGTGTTGTCCTGCACCCATGCATCTGGCTTACCATAGTCCGGCGGATTCGCGTACGGATCGTAGCCGAGCACGGACAGCATGGGCGCAATGTCGGCCATGTCGCGCACCACATCGCCCGGTATCTGGCCCACCCACTTGGACATGGCCTCCAGGTTCACCGGCTTGATCACTTGGTCCGAGGAGCGTTCCACCCTGAGTTTTTGTTTTTTTTTTTTTAATATGTTAAATTGTATTTTTTCTGTTCGTGCATGACGGGGCTTACTTGGAGAGGGGCACCCCATTGGGCTTGTTGATGAACTCCTCGTGATGCAGCACCGCATCGTTCCATGGCACGTCCAGGTATTTCAATATCTTGCGCATCCACTCCTCCGGATGCAGGACCAGCTGCTCATAGTAGACCTAACACACACAGATATATATATATATATTCCAGCATTAATTCGTTTAGCTGTCGTTTCGTTTAATTTCCTGCGCCAGCGGGCAGGCCATATCCCCCAGGCCAGGTTAATCTCCCATTGGATGGGGAGAGTCGGGTCGGTCAACATGATTTGGGCTGAACCCTAGCACTCACCATCATGCAGCGGTCCTTGCCCATGTCCCGGCACTGCTCGTGCATCACCTCGATGGCGTGGTTCCACTTCTGCATGCACTGGCGGTAGCTGCTCAAATCGAAACCGGTGATTGTCACCTTGCGCGATATAATCGAATGAACGGTCGCCCGACCGTCGCGCACCATGAATAGGAATTTTGCCTGTAACAAACGGGGAGTGGAAAAAAAGCACCAAAGCGGGTTGAGTGAGTGCACCGAGAAAAGTTATTTATATAGAAAATAAAAGAATAAATTATCGAGTGTCAAAAATATACGAATTTTTTGGAAGTGTGCCAGAAATCCAGCATTTAAAAAAAGCCCCGGGAAATCTGTATTAAATATAGTTTTTGCTTATAAATTGTTTTGGTTTTCCCACAAATTTTCTATATATTTTTTTTCTATATTAAATTAAGAAACTCCTCAAACATTTATATCATTTAAAATCAAATTGAATAGGATTTTCTCTGGCATATGGTGATAAATTAAATTTGTAAAGCTTTATTGGTCTCTCTGTATAAAAAAGGGGAGAGAATGTGTGCCAGGATGGGTGCTGATGTGTGCTTGGGGAAACTGCATGTTAGATGGGAGCTGTGCTAGTGGTGCTTACGTTCGGAAATAGCTCGATGACATAGGAACCCATTTTCAGCGTCAGCGGATCCTTGTTGCATAAGCGCGGCGCCGGCTCGCCATGCTTGGCGATGATTTCCAGACAGAACTGTGCAATGGCACTGTTCATGACCTCCTTGGTGATGCCGGCCTCCTGCAGGCGCAGCGATTCCTTCTCCGATTTGAGCCAGTGCGAGCGGAGTTGCAGGATGCGTGGAATGACGCGGGTTTCCTGACCGCAGCTAAATGAAAAAACAAAATTAAATGTATATAAATTAAGCCTCTACAATAGTAAATTTAAAAATACTATTAAAAAGCAAGTAGAGAAAGTAGAAATAAGTGCCTCAAGGCACTTTTTGGGTCCTGAAGGAATAACATATTCTCCTTTAAAATGAAATTAAAACGTTCGTATAGTGGCAGCCCCATCTAATATCCTACTTTGATTTCGCAACACACGACAGGACACACACACAGGAGATTCAGGAGGCACCACATCATCCAACCCAGGCAACCATCCCTCCTGTAGTGCAATCGACAAAATGAAAAAGGCATGCCATCCGGCTGGGGCTCTTTAGCGTTCCCGTTACCGTTACCGTTACCATTCTACATGTACACCATGGAGAAAGAGAGCCCCGCCTGGAGCGCCCCCATCGTGCATAACTCTCATTTGGTTGCGCTCCACTCCGATTTCCCTTTTTCCCTTTTACCATTTTCCACTTTTAACTGCACAACCGAAGCCACTGAACTATGAAGGGCTTCAAACGCCCGCGAAGCAATGCCTGGCGGCGGTACCGCACGGCGTGAGCTTCTATTCCCAAGTACCTGTTCCGTCTTGTCCTAGTTGTAACTTTAAGTGTATTATAGTTGATTAGTATTGTAAGATGGAATAAAAATAATTGGAATACAAAAAAAAAAAACACACAAAAATGACTGCCTGATTGCGTAAATTATCATAAATATCTCACACGGCAATTGAAAAACCAGAGGAGAACCCTAAAGGTAGGGTAATCAAGGTAAATTAAAGCTCTGCTCCAACTATTTCTATCTGGAAATGGAAAATGCCTGGAGGTCAGTGTAATCAGGGGGTGATTTAAGGAGCTAATTTACTCTCGAGAAAATGAGTTCTAGATTAAAAAGTTTCTGGAAAAACTCATTTAAATGCCTTGGCAAATTCCACAAAAAGTGTTTCCTTTTAGTTCTCAGCACCCGGCCACAACTTGTTATCGCTGCTGCTTTTTTAAAAAAATAAAGCTTAAAATACACAAATGTGTATTTATCTAACCTTTAAATTCATTTCCCCTTAGAGGAACACCTTTCCAGTGCTTCCAATTCCCGGATGACGACACCAGTCCAACCCTTCCTGGAGGAGCCCTAATCGGGGGATAACCACTTTATCTAGCCTCAGCCAATTACATTTGTTCGCACCTCGATCCGGATCGCACGCTGTGCGCCCCACACGAATCCCACAAAGCTGTTTCGGGGCTTAACCAGGACTCAATTAGTTGGTGCCAAGTCCAAATGCAAACTGCTACAAATACTAAACCAGATATAATCGGGGCGGGCGGGGCCTGCAAGTGGGTCGAAGCGGGGGTGACGGTGGTGACCTACTCTACTCTACATACATACATACCACCGGGAAACTTTTACGCTTTTCAGAGTCCTGCCATGGCGAACAAAGGGCGGGAGGGTACGGATGCATGGAGGAGGAAGAGGACCCAAAACCTATTCTGTAACTAAAATCAGTGGGGTCCTTGAAGGAAGGGGGGAATGGGGGAATGGGGCGGTTTTTAAACAGCGGAAATTGCGCTGTGCTCAGCCATCAGAAAAAGCGACCCTGACATCCAACATCCAGCAGCAAGCTCCCAGGATACGGGATACGGGATACAGGATACAGGATAGGCCACGCGATTAAAATCGCGAAAGAAAGGCAAATTGTTAATAAAATAAGCGGCAAAAAGAAAGGATTTAAGTTTGCCCATTTCTCATTTTTGAATTGTGCAAAAATTCTCTTGGCTAATTACTCATGCGTAAGGGAAACTAAGCAAATTATAATACACGAGTGTAAAAGAGATAAAAGGGAACACTGGGAACAGGATCACTCACAACAGATACTGGGATACAGCCAAGGCAGACCCCCCCTAAAAATATACATATTAAAATTGCCAAAGGCGAAACGAAATACATATCAAATTCGGGCAGGAGGTTGGGTTGCTGCGAGGCAAAAAATGAATGCATTAAAATTTACAACATTCCATGACCCCATAGAGACGGCGCGGCAAGGAGCAAAGGAAATACACTTTTTGTGGCAGGAACCGAAAACGGAAATCATTTGAAATTGGAATGTTATTGAAAATATGCTTAAATTTATGTATAAGTAGGGAGAGTGTGAAATCAGCTTGGCAGCTTAAAGTTACAGTAAGGCTTTAATCTTTAAAATATTTTTATCGATAAGCTTCTACATGGAAGAGGGTAGGGCTAACGATAAACCGATAGTTATCGGTAGGCAAAAATCGCTCATTTAGTATTCTACAGTAAGTATGAAGTTAACTAACTAAATTGACATATTCTACTTCAAATTATTAAAGTTACATTAATGCTTAAGGCTTAAAATTATTCTTGTCGATAAGCTTTTACATATCGCTTCTACTGCCAACGATAAAGCTACATTTATTGATAGGCAATTGCTCTTTAACTGTTTTACAGTGTTGTTTTAATCCTGCAAATATTTTAAAGCCTATAAATGCTAAGAATGCTTGCTAGGAAACCGATTAAAGTCTTGAGAAGCAGCCCTCAAACCTATGTTCAATGGTCTATGAATTGGTTGTGATATCCCATAGACTTTGTCACAACCCAAGGGAAGTGGTATATTCCATACGCCATGGAGTTTACACCCCCCAAAACCAATCCCAATCCCAAACGCATTGTGGGAGACAATCAAATCGAACAGTAACCGACAGGGATAAGGGTATAGCGGGGTGGGGGCATTATCCTGTTACTGTTCGAAGGAGAACTTACCGCACATCGGGATGGGCATCCAGCATGGCGCGCATCAAAGTCGTCCCAGATCTGGGCACGCCGCCTATGAATATTAATGGCATCTCACGGTTGTATGAATAAACGCGTTGATTGTCATCTGTGAGGTATTTCTGAACGTGTCCGTAGTATCCGTGGCCGTGTCCGTGTTCGTGTCCGGGTTTTCGCATCCGTATCCGAGAGAGCGAGAGCGAAAGATGGGCGAGAGAAAAGAAACGGGGTGGAGACAACAAAATTAAATTAGAAAAAGTTGCATGGCATGGCTCTTGGTGGCGTCGGTGATGATTATGATAATGATGATGGCTACCAGGATGGGCATGGGCGCTTGTGGGTTACACACACACACACACACATATATATAGAGTACAGATATAGGGCAGGTTGGATGGATGGATGGATGGTTGAGTAAGCGCAGGTGTTAACGCCTCCAGGGGCATTAGCGTCAAAACGAATGAAAAGTGAGAGCGCCAGACGACACAGGTGATGGGCATTACTAAAAATAGAACCCAACTATCCATATGGAACCGAACTCACAAGACTAATCCCTCTGATAACTAGACAAACCTTATCTGGGCAACAACTCCTGGCAAGTCGAACGATATTCATAAATCATACACAATTAATGAGGGCAGCGATAAGTTGGCCTTTTATCTAATCAGAAACAACATTTCAACTGATAAATAAAAGTAAACAAATCACGGGCATTTCTTTAGCTTTGAATGTGGCAAAAGCTGCCTGGATTGTGAGCACTTAAAAGCATTCATTACATTCCCCTAGATCGCCCATAATTAGGGTCACAGAATCCTACGGAATTAAAGTCTCCATTCATGGGTAAAACCAAAGATTGCTAATGCTCTGCGAGAATGATTTGGCTACACACATCCGCTCCCATCCACCCCTGTCCCTGGGGTGCATTGTCTTTCGTGTGGAGTCATCTCCTCTGGCCGCAGTTTCGATTTCCTCTACCATCCTAAGCTGCTTATGGCCTTTCGATATTCCCAATGCTAATCAATGGATTCCCCCACTCTATTCGCTCGGGCACGCTGACCCCCCACCCTCCTTCTTCAACTCCAACGAGACCATTTTGGTCTCGACTAATGTTTACAAAATAGTGTTCGGTCATCCGATAACCAGTTAAATTCCCTCAATGACTTTTGCTTTGGGTTTGCGTGCGTGTGCGGTTGGATTTCCATGGGTAGTGGATAGTGGATAGCAAGGACTTTCAGCTGTGCTCAGCCAATATGAAATTAGTTATCCTGCTTTTCGGTTCCACCTTCATGATTTCTTTTCTCTCTTGATTTATCGCCGCAAATGTTTTGTTGTTTGGTTGAGGGGGGGTGGTCACCGGGAAGAACCCAACCGAAATGTTAACTAAATACTTTAGGATGTAAACTTTTTGTAACCATAAACCTAAGGGTATTGCGAGCTATAAACATAATGTTTCTTCTCTATAAAGATGCACTCTTTAACTGCATCTTTTTCCTACTGCTAACGTAGATTCACGAGGAAACACATCAACTTTAACAATTAATGATGAAATTTTTATTGAATAAATACCTAAAAACATCCTATCTATCCCCAAGAAATTTACTAAAAATATGTAAACCACATTAAGTATGCTAAGAAATATTAGGAAATAAATTCAATAAATTTAATATTCTTTAAAAAAGGAAAGCCGAAGAAATCTGTCAAGACTTGATTGCTTCGCGTTTGATTAAATTTAAATATTTTTATCCCTGGACTAGCAATGGCAAGGATCAAGATGAAGATGTCTCGGGGCAATATGTGTGTGTGATTTTTTTTTTTTGGGAGATTTTTCTGGGTACAAGGTACAAGGGGAACGTACACAGGACATAGACGAAACACACAGATTGGGTGTTCGATTTTTGGGGTACATACCTCGACGCGAACCATTTGGGAGCTGAGCTCGCTGGCGGCATCCACCTTGAAGAGGCACTGGGGCCGCAGCTCGGTGAATTTGAATAGGAACATAGTGATGACAATGATGCCGAAGAGCACCCACAGGGTGACCTTCTTGTTCCGATATGGCAGTCGCATTTTGGAAAGTATAAAGGTGTCTCACCGGCGGCTAACTGGTTTTTGATTTTGGCGATATATTCTCTAGCCTGTGGCTGACTCCTCCTGGCTTCCGCCTCCTCTGGTCTCCCTTCTCTCTCTCTATCTGTGGCTCGACGTTTGCCCAAAGCTTAAATATGTAAATTGGTTTTCTTGAGGTCCTCAAAGCAGAGTTGTTTTGGCTTTGGCTTTTGCTGTAGTGGCTTGTCCTGTTTGCGGAGGATGTGGCGTGGGTGTGGGTGTGTGGATGCGGATGCGGGGGTGTCCTTAGAGCTGGTGCTCCTGATTTGTTGGCGGCTTGGTGGTGCCACCACAATAACTCCGTCTACGGCCACCGCTGTGCTCGTCCTGGTGGTCCTGTTCCTGCTGGCCCTGTTCCGGCTTGTGTTCTGCTCTATGTTCCTGGGTCTGGGTCTGGGTCTTGGTCTGATTATGGTTATGGTACTGGTTCTGGTCTTGCTGCTGCTCCTGCTTGTGACGTTGATTGCTTTGCATTGCCTCGCCTTTGTTTGCTCCTTTTCGGCCAGCCAGCAGCAGCAGCAACTCGGCGTGGCCAACACAATGCAACGGAATCCTGGCAGCTGCTGGACCCTTGTTTATCGCGCTACTCTTCGCCTTCCGTTTATTGCATTTTTACAGAGAAATATATATATACAAATATATAGATTCAGGGACCCTGGAACGGAAAAAGCAAAGGCTACGTTAGCCAAAGCATATTTGAAGGCTTTTCCCACGAATTATTGTGGGCAAAGTTTTTAATGTTTTCGTGATTATTTTTATCACTGGGTAAGAAAACTCCTAAGATCATGGGTTATTGATTAATTTAACTGGAAACTAGACTAGTCTGCCAGGTTGCTGTGATACCTGCCTGGGTTTCCTTTCTCCTTTGGAGGAATCTCTTTCGAAAGGTTCGAACGCTCACTGAACTGCAACTTGCAGTGCCCGCCACTCGACATTCGACACTCGACTGACTGACTGACTGACTGACTGGCAAACTCAAGTGACTACGCACCTTTTGTTGCCTGGGGTTTTCCTAGCCGACTTTTCCTTCGGTGTCAGTGCAGTTGCTGAAGATGTTTGCTCAGTTGTTGACGAAGAGCTGCCAGCCCAGCGACTTAATGAGCCGAAATGCACAATAGACGGGTACCAAAGTCAGGGATATAAACACGTAATAGCTCCAATCGCCGGTTATTTCCTCCGTCATACCTGCAAATAAAACGAAACAAGAGACATGAGCACAATATTTATCACTTTACATCACTTACATATACGGAAAATACAAGGGGAAAATGGAAAAAGTGCAAACACTATTCTCCCGGCGTATGATATATTTGATTAGAAATCATCTGCGATACATTTGTTCGTTCGTCGTTCCTTCCTTTTCAATATGACATATGTATGAACGTGACTCTCAAGGGGGTCGGTCTTGGGTTGGAAAGGAGAGCGAGCTGCATAAGCGGCTTACACACACACACATAAGACATTTACCAGCAGTTTTCCCAGAGCCCAAGTGCCATATGTCAAAAGATCTATTTGTATCCATGAAATAACAATGAAAGCAAATGCTTTGCTTGCCAAATACCCAATTGTTTAATGTTCTTTTTACCCTATTTTATATGCATATATATAAAAAAACGTCTTGTATACCACTTTATGCCCTTGTAAAATGGCATCAGACATCCCCAAAATTAATATCAACTCGGCCAAGTTTGACTGTAATTGCCAGGCTTCCTGCTGGTGCCATGAAAATCCTCCAAACTACCAGCGGAGGGGGCCTTGGAGTGCATATGAGTTTCAGGCGACATTCGTCACTGGGTTTTCCCTCCGGAGCAGGAAAATCGGTAGTGGGAAGAGAAGTTGGGGATTGGATGGGATAGTAGTGAGTGGCCGTAGCACTCTTGACAACTGCCAACTGCCAAGTCCCCGGCAACTCTCTCAAGTGCGGCCGACGTGTCAGATGCTCGAGTACTTATAATTCCTTTAAATTCTCAACTTTCCCGGCTCTCCTCCGACATATGAGCGGACAAGTGGAAAAGCTGGGAGGGGGGTTGGGGAGGGGTGATAGACACAGGAGCACTGTACACAGAGCAGATAGCGAGTGAAAGAGTTGGCCAGGTTAGATGCCAGATAGCAAGGTTGCTCAAAAGAAACACTTTCCAGGGGAAGAGGATGGAGCAAACAACTTTAAAGTCATTTCATAAAATTTATTAAAGTATATTTATAATTGGTTATATTAGGGAATAAATATTTGGCTCAAAGTGACAGCTGTTATAGCTAATTACCCAAAGTCAGCTGACTTAAATCGTTTTACTATTTGTGGTTTTTGCTGGCTTAAACTAAAATATAATAACTTTTGACAAGCCACTTGTTGTCGTAAATACAATTTGTTGCCGGACTGCATATGACGTTGAAACTCTTTTTCATATTTTCATTTTCATTTTCATTTACATTAATTCCATTGCATTTGCCAAGGACAATAAACGAGAGTAAACTTTTGCCATTTTCGCAAAAACTTTAATTAATTTAAGATGTCGAATTATTTGTTGAAAAAAGAAACCACACACACACAGACACACACTCGTACAGAGAACTTTCCGCCAATCATTTCCATTTGTGTGTGTGTGTGCCTGTGCGTGACGAGTTTTCGCAGCTTTCGTCACTGGGCTGGAAACCTCAGAAACTATTTTCCTTTTGGCCAAGCGAAAACTTTCAAGAAGCTGGCAATTTGTCGACGTTGTGCCCGGGAGTTTCCTTTTGGTTCTACAATTTTTCATGGCCTTCCTTTTGGCTCCTCTTGTCTTTTCCTAGGAATTTATTACACCTTTGGGCTGGCCTCTCCCGTTTTACTAAATTACACATGCACTTTTTCTTTCCGATATCTGATCTTGGAGACTTGTGCTCCAAATACACAAAAGAACGTCTTAAATAAATAAAAGGAACTAGGGAAAAACAGTGCAAGAATATCTTTATAAGCGCTTTGATCAAATAAGAGTAACTGGGTAATCGACTTTGGGTTTCTTTATATGTACATTCATCATCCCAGTGGGGCTTCAGTTCTTTACTCGATTCTTTTTCTGAGCCGCATACTCGTATTGCTTTTTATTGACCTTCATTTTCTGCCACAATATCATAAGGCCCTTCAAGCTAAAGCCCAGGATAGCCACAAGGGCAGCAATGTTTTTATAATCGAATTGAGTTGATGGTTGGACAGCATCCACATGGGGAGAGACAGCTTCCAGATCAGGAGCAGGCGATCCGGAAAGCTCCGACATTATAGAAGGGAGACTCGACTTGGCTTAGATCACTTCCTTGAATTCAAAACCTAATGAGATTCATCATTATTATAATATTATATCTGGGTGGAATATTTTGTTATAATTTTAAATTGGTGGCTAAACAATTTAAGAAAGAATTTTTGCACCGTGTCGAGGCATGCAAAGTGTATTTGCACATATGACAGGGAGACCCCTCAAGGACCTCTGCTTGGTGCTTGTGCTTCCCGGAATTCCCTGCTTTGCTGCTGCTGCTGCTGCTTTTTGGTATGTCGAAAAGTTGATATTAAAAAAATAAATAAAAAATAGAAATTCCTTTTTGGCCATATTTTGTGCATGCTAAAATTGTGGCTTATATATTTTACCACCCATCCTGGGAGCCCAAATGGCTGCCGAAAAGTTTTCAGAGCAAAGTTGCTAGAGCCGCATTTCTCCTATTTTTCACTAGAGAAAGGGGGGAGGGAAAAAAGCAAGTTGAATTTTTGTTTGAAGAGGTGTTGTTGTTTGCTTTTTTTATTTAACATGTGTGCCTGTTGTTGTTGTTGTTGTTGTTGCTGCTGCTGGCCAACAAGAAACATTCACACTCGGCATCGTCGCTCTAGTTTTTCAGCCTTCGTTGTTTGGTTGTTTTGGCTCAAGTGTCGGTTAAGGTCTTGTAAAAATTAATAAGCGTGTAAATTTTATTGTAATGCCACACACACACACACCTACATACACACACCCACCCAGAACGTATTAAATTGTTTATGGATATGACGAGTCTCTCCTACTTTACTTTATGGGTCTCTGTGCTATTTATTTCCAGCAACTGATGCCTTTGTTCTTCTTATGCTCAACTTGAGCTTAATGGGGTTTTGTTTTCGGAACTTCCACTTCCGCACAGTTGTTTTTAAATGCAAAAAATGCGAAAATAAAATGTACACATTTTTTAAATAAGTTATAATAGTTTCAAAATCCAATTACCAGTGTATAATATAATCTTCTCTTTTACCTAAATTTTATTCAAGTCAAAAACTTTAAATTGGTCCCACTGTGCCGTACAAATAGCCTGGCGCTAGTTCACACGCTTGTTGCGCCCACTGTCTTCTCCGTCTTTTGTTTCAGGCGGAAAAGCGGGCAAAAAAATGGAAAGAAAATCTGCATAAATAATGTTGAGCCACGCTTTCTGCGGGAAGTGTTGATGATTTGATGGAAAATTCCGAAACTAAAGCGCGCAAAGTGCGAAAACAAAACGCTCTAGCTTAAGCACCGTTAGAAAGGCGGATGGAAAAGTGGGGCTGCGGGTGGGTAGAGTGCGCGTTCCACCCACCGAGGCGTGGGCATTCTATTTTTTTTTTTTTTTTTTTCAGACGAAACGTGGCTCTCCACGGCCGGCGCGAGAGTTTATTATTTAGCAAACTGACTCCGTGGCGACATTTGGCTCATTTATCAGGGGAAAGCACGTCACGTTGTGATATTATAAATTACTTTAGACAATATGCAGCCCCCCCCAGTGTGGGTCTTACTTGGGCTCCAGTGGTACTGCACAGCTCCTCCTGAATACCCTTGAAAGGTCCAATAAACAGCTAAGCTCACAGCTGGAGTTACTTCCAGGATGTTTGGTAGCTAACTAAATATTTAAAACAATGTTAGAAGTTAGTTGAACCGATGACTAGATTCAATTTATCACCTATTTTATGTCAAGCTGAATTTACAGCCTTTTTTCGGAGGCTTGAAAGCTTAATGAAATATTTTTAAAAGCCATTAAATAACAACGTTTGAACTGGTGACTAGATTAAAGTTATTATCATATATTTTACCCAAAGGTTTTCCTGGAAAATCCGATATTTTTCATATTTTTAAACATGACCCCTTTACATAACTCTGCAGAACTCACAGACTCCTTCTGTGTTTGTTTGGAAAATGTGTTAATTAAAACTTAACGTCTGATCGCGTTACACACGAAACATCACCGGAGCACACACGTACACGTACGGAAAAAAGCTGGCTAGAAATGTGCCCGAGAAAGTCGAGATAAAAAATGTTATAATTCAATTTGTGTTATGTCAACTGCTGTATAAATACAGTCAGAAGCAGGCAAAGAAGCTGTTAAAAGGGGGAAGCTGGCTTGGGGCTCCATTCAGCTGTGAAATCATTGATGACAAGTGCATTGACCTTGTCTGCCACAGATTACGAGAAGTCCTGGTTAAAGATTTGCAATGCAATTCCTTTGATTCTGAATTTGAATATATAATTTAAGCATCAGTGCACAGTCGTAGTTTGTTTGTAATTAACAGCAGCCAGGCCAGAGCCTGAGGCTTTCTTTCAACAAAATACAATTAAATTCCGTAGGGAAAAGGAAACCTTTTAAGCCTTGATTAAACTACACTAGGACTCTTCCTTAGGATAGTACATTGTGTGCTGTCCCAACATTCTGGTTGTATTTGTGTGAAAAGTTCGATGCTTCAATAAATTGACAATTAAAACCAAACCTAATTAACACCCCCAGATGGTAAGAAGTCAATGAACCTAAAAACTTTTCTGATGACAACAATAACAGCAATAAAATAGAAAGCAGAAAAAAACCAAAGGGAGGCTCTTATCGATGGATCGATTGAAATGCGAGCCAATCAAGTGACTTTGACATTGTGAAACAATTTAAACAAATGTTACAATGTACACAAAATATGTATAGTGAAAACAAACAAAAGTGAATCCGGGAATTGCATTCAAATTGGCAGCAAGGTTTTTTTTTGCTGAGGAAAGCGCAATAAACTGATAAGCGCTTGAAAAGAGTTTTTATTTTGTTTCAGATTAATTGCACTGGGAAAAAACAAAGTAATTATTTAAGCAGAGAAAAAATAGAATTTAAGCATTTATTTAATTTATTTATGTCTTATGCTAAATTAAAATGCCACCTTTTGTTTATTATTAATTTTGTGTGGAATACTATTAACCCCATTTTGTGGCTTTTACTTTTTCAGTGTGTCTTCTTTTGCTTTTTTAATTTAAATATATTTGTATATTTGATTTAATTCTAAATAAATATGCATTGAATACCAAAACAGAAAATGTAAATATTTAGAGGGAAACTGTTATTATTTAGTCAAAAATAATAAAGGCATAGAGTCTGGTATTTAAAATAATACAAATAATATTTAAGGCAAGATCTTTAAATACATTTTAAAATAAATCAAGTTTAAAAAAATGCTAAAATTAACTTCTCTTCGCTGGCTTTCTTTCTTCGCTGCTCTCTTTTACAGAAGATTTGCAAAAGGGCTTACGTGTCCAGTTGAAGATTTTGGTTAGAGGCCATTAAAGGTTCTTTTTTTTTTATCAAAATGGCCCAACTTTTAATGGAGCCAAGAAGTTTCCTTCTTTCCTTACCGGCTTTCCCCGATTTTTCTCATACTTTGCTGAGGCAATTGTGCAATTGCGAAGGCTCCCTTTCCCAGAAAAAAAGCAGCCGAAAAAACTTGCTTCCTTTTTTGGAGGCCACATCGTCAAGAATTTTTGTTTTTTTTTTGTATTTTTTTTTTTGGCCAGCTCAGAACAAACAGTCAACGTAGCGTGTCGCCCTTTGCATATTTGCCTTAATTTTCAGTTTCATATTCAGTTCGTTTTATTTCTTTCCGGCCTTTAATGGCCAGCGATTTGGGTAAATGAGAAAAAATGCTGATAGGCCAAGTTAATATGAATGAATGATGATAAATGCGCAATGTTTTTTGTTCATAATTAATATTTTGTTACTGTTTTGTTCCGGCTGAAAGTGCCATTAATGAAAACGAACAGAGGGTCACGTTCAACAACAAAAAACGGGAAATTTACAAAAAATGAGTTGGAAAATCAACGAATTGAATACAACTTGACCCAGAAATCAACAGGTTTTTGGGGGTGGATATTTTGAGTTTGGAAAATACAACTTTTAAAACATGAAAATGTATCTCTAAGTTATATAAAAAATAAAGGAAATTTGAAATATCCTTTTACCAACACAGAGGGAAAAAGTGAGTAACATTTAGGGACTTTGCACTGAGAGAATATGGACGGACATCTATGACTTTCGGTTACCTAACTCCCCTCAGATGTTTGGAGCGTATACTAATCAAGGTGACCTTTAGCTTTTTTTACTTTAACCACTTTTACGCATGACATTTATGCCTAATAAATAATATACCCAAGTTAATAAAAACTGCTAGGCAAATGTAAAACCAATTTTTAATATGAAAATCTCTCAATTGCCTGACCCCAACCAATTTCAAAAGAGGATTCACACCTCAATACCCCTCCATCTGCTGTCATACTGTGGTGCCTTTGCTTCTCGAGAACTTCCACATGCAAAAAGGGCCTGCTGAGAGGGCTCAGGCCCAGCCCAGGTGAGTGTGACAGAGTTATAGAGTTCGATGGGAACACGTATACCTGGCCGTTCAGGCATGGCAATCTGAGCGTGACGAATAATGATTTCACATCACTCCCCAAGGGGGAATGGAAATAGGGGGGAAACTTTAAAACGAAGACGGTTTTTCTTTTGAGAAAAAATAAGTGTGTGTTGAATGGATGAATTTGAAATTTGCATTTAGTTGGCTTATTGAGTTTGCATCTGTATCTGTCGTGCTTGTCGCTCTTTTAAAGAAAATCCAAAGACTAATTTCATTTGGCTGCAGTTTTGCCCGAAAGCACAGAGGAGTCGTCATTGAAAGACGAAAAGGGGGGTTGGAAAAATTAAGAGGGGTTTTGCTCACAAGAAGGCAAAGTGAGGAGAAAAGCTGGAATAAACAAGCCAGAAGAATATCCAAATTGTGTGCAAAAGGATTTCCCATTTTGAAATATAGTTTTTAAACATAAAAACTAGGTTATATCTCAAGTGTACTTGGCGTATGTGCCCTGTGATATGGGCACTTGGACAGCAACACTTTTGGGCCACTTGTTTCTCGAAATTGAAAACCATGAGGCGCATTTAAAGAGATGAAGTGACAACTGGCATACTGATGACAACACACACACACACTCACACACACAGCCCAAGAGGGCAGGGTGGGCAGGGAGGGGCACTGTAAGTGTGTGGGGATCCTATAAATATAACAAGTGCCAAGAAATATGTACATAAATAAGCCACCAGAGCGGGTCGTACTGTGTGAGGCAGATGCAGATACAGTGGTGACTCTTAGAATAGCTTTTAGTTAATTAATTTTAGTAGATTTATTAATTTAATTTGTTTTTAAATTATTTAGTTTAAAAAATACTGTGGGAGAAGAGTAGAAATTTAAGGTTTCTCAAAGCTTTGAGTTTCAAATAATTAATTAAAAAAAAATATATATATTCGATAATATAAATTTTATAATATTTTTTAATAGTTTTAATATAGTTAAATATTTTTTATATTATTTTAATATATATATTTCATAATAAATATTTTTAAAACAATAAAAGTTTATCTGGATACTAGCTTGCATGCTTTACATCTATAATTTCAGCTAAGCATAGTTTGAAAATGTATTCCAGTTGTTTTTTGCAGTGTATAAGAGTCTTTTACTTATATTTTGGTGGGCGGTATCATCATTATTATAAAAAAAAACAGCTGATAAGGAGAATTGATGTAGTTTCTCTCTTCTAAACTTTAATTAGGTTTGAAAAAGTTGTAGTTTCATTTAACGGGGTTCCACTGCACCGCTTTTGTTTGCTGTTCGCTGCTTCAGTTTCTGCCGCTGCGTTTCTGTAATTCTGGATTTCTGGTTTTCAGCATTTTGTGCATTTTCTGCACTTCCAGGTGCTGCGACTAATTGTTGCTTTTGCCGGGGACAAAAAAAAAATATATATGGAAACGGAGGCCACGAAGAGGAGCCACAAAGAGTGGGAATAAACAAGACTGGAAAATGGGGTTCAAAGGGGCGAATGGGAGCAGCCAGACAGGATGCGAAGGACTTGTTCGCGGACTGGCTGTGAAAAGTGCAACAAACTTTTACAAAATAAAACGAAAATCTAGCCCAAAGGCAAAAGGGGGGCGTGGCAAATGATGCGCTTCCTTCTGCAACTTCAAATCACATAAAAACCACCGCAGCTGGAGGAGACTCTCATGTGGAAAAGAGCGCGAAAAAAAGGAGGAACTTTATTGAAATTGAAGCACTCTCATTAGGAGGAACAAAAGTTGCAGGACTCGAACGAGCAGGACAAGAACCAATACAGAAAAGCAGAGCTACAAAAAGGAGCAGCAAAAGTAAAGTTCCGATTTTGATTAAGGACAAAAAAAGCATATGGAAGGCATGAGGTTCCTATAAACTTTCCTTTGCTCTGGGTTCTTTTGTAGACCCAGAGCACCCGAGGGTCCTTAAGGGTTTTTTTGGTTACGAAGCTTGTACAGATCATAAACTTTGCCACGCTTACATTTTCTGGGAAATAATTTTAATTACTTTTTGGCCAAAATTATTAACAATTTCTAAGAACACTTAATGAGCCATAAAAACATCAATACCCGGAATTTTACATTATGTAGATTAGACAACTTTCTAAATGAGAAGTTTTTTCAAACAGAAGATTTTCATATCGTTCTCCCAGTGTATATGGGCTCTTCTAATCACAATTACACGTTCTTTAACACATCGAAATGTACACACGTTGCAAGGGACTCCAGTTTTTGGGGGGGAGGGAAAAAGAAGCCCTAATCAAAGACAGTAATCACTCGGCCCAGCCAGTGTGTTCAGATAACGGAAATTAGGGGTTATACAAATACATTAATTAGGCGGTATATTTACTTGATTTGTTGTTGCCGCTGCGGCAGGTTCATTAATCATTTTCCTATCGGTGGAAAGCAACAACAAGTACCGCTGGGGCGCTCTCCCGATCCCGCTCGCACTCTCGCTTGTTATTGTTGCTGTTTCGTGTCACCAAAAAAAAAAGGAGCTGCTTTGTTGTTATTATGGTGTTTGCACTTGTTGTATTTTATCTTCACGCAAACAAACAAACAAACGGGCACGCACACACCTGCACGGCTTCGCACTGTAAACAAATGCACACACGTCGTTTTGGCTCTTGCAAAATGTTTCGCGGAAAAAACAAATAGCGAAACACACGTCCGATTCGTGAGATGGTTTTTTATGAAATTGATGTTACCAGATTTACCAAACCTAAAAATGCCAATTAAAGTGTTACCAGATTTACCAAACCTAAAAATGCCAATTAAAGTGTTACCAGAGACTAAAATTAAAAAATGTAATTAAAGTGTTACCAGCCTCAAAAGCAATTCACAATAGAGGTGGAAAACCTTACTATTTTCTCGCAGACACAGTAAGGATTGAAACTTCACTGAGAGCTTAAGGTGTCGATTTCAAAGTGCAAAACTTGACTAGGTTACTTTTATAGGAACTTGGTTCGAGTCTTCGTTTCGATCGTCCATCAACAGGCGAGTCGATTTAGCCAAAATCAAAATTTGATAAAAAATTCTTAATAAAATTCTTAAAAATTAAAAGAAAAATTTTAATATCCTAAAATTTGAAATTCAGTATGCATAAGCCATTCTTTACTGATTTCATTCAAATTGTAATACAGCAAAAATAAAAGCTATTGCACAGGAACTTTCTAAAGTTTTAAGTAAAATATAATAACAAAAATAAAACTTACCTATGCGTCGCAGCGCCGAAATACTTCCAAAAGGATCTGAATCGATTCTTCTCAATGGACTAATCAATTAAATACCATAAAATAACACAAAACTTAAACATTACTATGATTTTAAAATGGCTTAAAAGCACCGCTGGCAGGGCTCTTTGAATGAATTCCCTATAGTCGTTATCAAACTTCGATATCTCGGGTTTTACGACTGTTTTGTTAATGAACAGTCACTACGCGAGTGCAAACGCTAGACCTGCTAATTATGCTTAAGTGGCGGGCAATTTATGGCTTCGATTCCCTTGATAACCGAGTGCAAGTACAATATTCCCACATTCTACCAGTTTCCATTAGAAATGATCAATTTATAGCTTAATTTAAATATAAATGATTAGAAAGTGGCACCAGTAAACCAGTATATTTAATTAAAAACAAAAAAAGTTATCAAAAAAGATCAGCAGGCATCTCCTTAAATACGGACCAGCACCTCGTAGTGCTCCAGACGCACCTCCTCGCCGCCAAAGGGGATGTAGATGCAGCCATGCGAGGGATGGATCTTGCCCACGCTCAGGCTGTCGCAATAGGTGGCCCTGCCCACGTACAGGGGCTCTCCGTCCACGTTCGGGCCGGAGGACAGGGCGCCGGGCACCACATTGCCGTGGGAGGCGGGCACCCAGCGGAAGCCGGCTCCGGTTAGGACCTGGACATCGGTCAGCTCGTGCTCCGCTTGGGCGTAGGCGGCATAGGCCTTGCCCTTGGCCGGCACCACCTTGGCGGGCAGCAAGTCGCCGTTGCGGAACACGCGTCCCACATAGATGGTGTCCCCGTTGGAGTCGTGGCCCGCCACCAGAGCTCCATCCGGTATATTCGTGGCCGTGGTGTCAATCCAGCGCTCCGGCTGGCTCAGCACCTCGTAGGAGAAGATCTTAACCTCGTCGGAGTCGTAGGGTATGTACAGGCAGCCATGCGAGGGATGCACCTTGCCCACGGTTAGGCTGCCGGCATGGTAGCCCCGGCCCGCGTACAGGTACTCCCCGTCCACGTTCTGGCCCACCTTGACGGCTCCGGGCGGCACCTGGCCGTTCTCCGCCGGCAGCCACTCGTAGTTGAAGCCGGACAGCACCTCGTAGTTCTCCAGCTCGTGCTCCTCGCGGGCATACGCCACGTAGGCCTTGCCCTTGTTGGGAATCACCTTGGCGGGCAGCATGTCGTTGTTGAAGAAGGCGCGTCCCACGAAGATCGTGTCGCCGTCGGAGTCGTGGCCAGCCACCACGGCATTTGGCGGTACGCTGCCATGGCTAAAGTGCATCCAGCGGTGGTCTGTGAATATCCTTCGAAATGTAATGATGATGGGGCCTTTTATAGTTATTTCCCTGTAAGGCTTTCCATGTTACCTTGCATGTTTCAGTCCGTTCTCCAGCAGCTCCGGCGTTTGACTGACTTGGCGTCTGATTTAATGGCCTTTCCATGTTTCCGCTCCGCCTTGGCACACGTAGATAGGGCTTATCGATGCCCAGGTTCCAGATAAGGGATCCCGGACAGGGCCGAGCCCAACCCTTGGCTGACTCAGATCTTGTAAAGCTCTCCTCGTTCGCATTCTTGCCCGCCGATTGGCCAATTGTGGAGAAATCGGTTTCCACAGGCAAAAACGGGGGTTTCCATTTGGGTACAGTGGCAGACCATGAGTGTAAGGCGCTGGAAAGGTAAATCGTTTTCATTACCATTGATTAGTATTAGCAATACTTGAATTTGTAAGCCTTTATTTTATTCTTTGTGTTTATTTTGTTTGTTTTTTATTTTATAATAATTATAGCATTTAAATGAGTAGCCTTACACTTGCGTTACTTAGTGTTTCGGTTAGCTTTAACTTGCAACAAGGCGTTCTTATGCAACATATCTTCTGACAGGCACTCGCTTGATCCTTTTGCGAAGTTTCCCGTATCCGCTTTTCCAGTTACCCGCTTTTCCCGCTTTTCCCACTGCCCCACTAACCCCCACTCCCACCACTCGCCCACTTTTCCACTCGTCCAAGCACTCCATTTATTTAGTGGTCGCCGGCTTTGCATTTGTTCTTTTGTTTTTCCCGGCATTGTTGCTCTTCAATGATTTTTCCAGATTTTCCATTCTTGTTTTTTCGACAGTGGTCGAGTGGATCTCCGCTGTTTTACTTCTTTTTTTTTTACCCATTTACAAATATTTGAACAAGGAAAACTGAAAAAAAAAACAAACAAACAACTGGGCGGTAAAGTGGGAGATTGTGAAATTGCCGCGCCATGTTTGCACCTGTTTACAGTGGCTCTTCGTGGCTCTGTTTCTCAGGTAAAGGGGAAATTTTTTTACTCGTAAGCTTTGAGCGGATTCCTGTGGGGGCCAGGGTCTCTGTACTCCCTGTACTTCCCCTACCTCTCCCTACCAGAGAGTCAATTAGACTCGGTCCAGGAATAATAGGGGGTTTATCAGGGGTACAATGCACCTGGCAGCAAGTCCTTCTTCTCCAAAATGTGATGTGATCTAGGTTAGCGATAATATCGGAATATCCTTTAATAGATATGTCTGCAGTATATGAAATATAGGGTTATATAATCTGGAGAACATACACACAATCTAGTTGGAAGTCAGAACGAGTTGGGAATTATAGGGTACAAGTGGAGCACAAAAAGCGCCACAAGAAAGGAACTAAACTAAAAAAACGCCTATAATTTGAGAGCAATTGAAATATTGAGACTAAAAACTGGTATTTATGGTGGCTTGTCTTAGGTTAATTTTTCTTAAATATACAAAATATTTTAATGAGCCCATAGTAATATCTTCAGCCACCCTTTTTTAATAACAAAAAATCCAATAACAAGTATTAGCACATAATTAAGCGTTGGAGCCTAATAATGTTCTAACCTTTAACTTTCCATCTTTTCCGCTTTCCCCATCTCTTTGCTCATTTTCCCTTTATTTTAAACCCCTTTCCTTTAATCATTTCCACAGTAGCTCGAACTAAATTCCCGCTTTTGTGAAACCCCTTAACCCCTCGTTGCCCCAGCCGTCTATCTGACACGCTTTCCGCTCTCGATTCGCATCCGCTTTCCATGGGTCCACCTTTCAGTTATCGTCGTGCTTCTGTTCTGCCTAAAGGTAGTCCTTTGTACACTGGGGAAAAAATTGATAAATGAAATTTGCATAAAAAAAATGTGCAAAACAAGTTGGACTCCTAGCTTAGCTTTTGTCTTATTTATTGATTTCAACGGTAGAAATCCCCTGTTTTTTGTTATTATTTTATAGCCAGCAAGTCACTATTTTTGTTCTCAGTGTCTGGGCAGTTGGTGGGCCAGTTGCAGCAGCGGTTTCGCTTTTTGGCCACACAATGCGGCAGTTTTTCGAGGGTAGCCCCTGGGCTACAGAAGCCCGTAGGCCTTAAACAGGGAAGCTACACACATCTCCTTCAGTTGGAGAGATCGACGCGTCGTTCGCCGCCGCCGCCGCCACTGTCGGTCACTCACGTAACGTCTGCGGTTGCGACGAGTCTGGCGTTTGGGACTGCCCACCAACACCAGCCGCTTCCCCCGGCTAATGGAACTCCCCTTTAGACCCCACCAACCCACTGAAAACAACAGCAACAACAACAACCGACCAAAGCCAAAGCCAACCGAAAAAGTGGGGCATTCAGGGGACTTAATGTTGCGTAGTGCAGCGAGCAGCGTGAGCACCATGCACCACTTAAAGATGCCACAGCTTTAAAGTCATCATTCCAATTGCAAAAATAAATAAAAACAGGGTATGGAGGGAGCCCCTTAATGACCGTCATTTGGTAATACGCAACCAGGGACCAACTGCAGGGAGAGCTTAAAGTCTCATCAACGAGTCTGGCAATTTCAATTGTTGCCCCCCGGACAGGACACTTTGCAATTGGCATAACCAATGAAGCGTCTGAAATGGGGTTAAGCAAGGGGTCACACATATACGGGGAACAGGATACTGGCCACAAAGGATGTGGAGAAATAAAATTTATATTCTTCACATTTTGACTCAAAAGGAAATGGTAAAGAAAAAGCATTTACTCTTTAACTTTTTGTTAATGGTTTAAATTTTATAATTTCTTTTTTATTTATTTTATTTTTCAGTGTTTCAATGTGTGAGTGTGTCCCGTGCGACCATTTTATAATTTCTGAAAAAGTTGGCTTTGCTGCGGTTTCATTGTAACCACGCCCCTGTCCCCCCGCCTGTTTTAAAATCATCATTCCCCCCCGAACACAAATGTTATCCACCATTCGGCATCCGAATTAGTTGCAGGAAGCGGTAAAGGATTTCGGTGAGTGGCCAGCATCCAAATCGAAGCCAGGAGCCAGAAGTCGGCACATCCATGCCATGGCCTGCCATAGTCACAAATCGGGAGCATTAGTGAACGGTTGACAGAAGTTCTGGGTTGTGCCGATCACGACTGAGTGGGCTTAGCATGTTGGTTTCAATTTTAATTTTCTCTTATTTTTATAAACCACTTTAAAAGCTTAATTTACTCATATTAAACATATTTAGGTAAAATTTATGCCAATTCTTATTTAGGTATTTCAAAGCAAATAAGATTGAATATACTTTAATGAAGGGGTTTTCAAGGGGCTGCTTATTACTCAATTTAAACGGTTTTCATTTAGCGTAAATTTGTATTTAAAATGTAAAAGAATATTATGAGTATATTTTATGATATTTTCACCCAACAAACCTTCCTTTAAAATACATTTTTATGTCTTTACCTAGTAAAAAAAGCTTTATTTCCTACTTTTAAATTTTTAGGAAATTATTTTTCCTTTGGAAAACCTTAAGAAAGAGTCAGGAAAATGTCCAGAAATGTGCATATGAGGGCGTATACTTTACTTATATTAATGTAAAATAAATATTTATGTATACTATATTACATCTATGATATTTCCAACCAACAAACCTTCATTTAAAGCTTTTCTTCCTGTTTATAAATTCTTATAAAATATTTTTCTTATAAGAAATCTGTAAGCCAGAGTCAGGAATATGTGCACAAGTCAAATCTTTCTTTTTTATTAATGTTAAATAAATATTTATATAGACTACGTTATATCTATGATATTTCCAACCAACAAACCTTCATTTCAAATATATTTATATATGGATTTACCGAGTACTTAAAACTTACCTTCCTATTTTTAAATTTTTAAATTCTCAAACAATATTTTTCTTTTAAGAAAACCATAAACCAGAAGCCAGAATATAAACAAAAGTCAAATCTCTCGGCGTCTCTACATTCTGACTAATCGTTGCCCCGTTGCCTTTTTCGAGGATCTGCAGTCCAATCTCGGCACAAAAGGGAACTTTTAATTATACATCGGCCCCGCTGGCTTTTGTGAGGTTGCACTGCACTAACTGGGGCTTTTCCGGGCATATCCTGCTATATCCTGGCAGCTACCATTTTCCGGCTCATTTCGAAACTTCTGCGCTCTCTCAACTTGAAAAGGAAGTTGCGGAAAGTGGAGTACAAAGCGGGGTGGGGTGGGGTGGTGGCCGGGCGAGGATATGGCATTTTACAGCTTGATTTCCATTTGGCCATTGAGCTAACTGTTTGTTTTCCAGCTCTCTCTCTCTCTCTCTCTCTCTCTCTCTCTCTCTCTCTCTCTCTCTCTCTCTCTCTCTCTCTCTCTTTCTCTTTTGGCCCTTTTCACGGCGAAACTCAACTGGTGGCAATACACTGACAGAAAGTCTACACAAAGAGGTCTCTTCATTTAGACTTGCTTAATTTTTCTGCTAAATTGTAAAATTTAAACAAAATGTTGAAAGTACAAAAACGTATCTTTAAGATACTTTGGGAAAGTTTTGACTTGCTTTTCTTAGTGTGCGCAACAAGAACTAATTTCACGCTCTCCTTGGAAGCTTGTAGCCATTATTATGTATATCTTGGCGGATCTTTTGCCCGGGAAGAAGTCTTCAATTTGGCTGTCGATTGGCTGGGCACCAGTTGAATAGTTGGACTCCGCCTCCACCTCCGCACCATAACCCGCTTGTTAACCCTTTAACAACATCTGTGGCAATAAAAGACAAGTTTATTGCCGGTCCGCATGAATATTTGTCTTTGGCAGCACAACTTTCCCTCCCCAAGGAGCAATCGCAGGAATGTGTTTCATTGTTGTTTATTTCCCCTTCAGCTTAGCTAGTTTGTAGTTGTTATTCAAAAGGGGAAAGTTACACACATAACACAAAAAATAAACATCAGATTAATACAGTTTATGGGAAGAGGTTCTCGTGGAATGGGTGAAACACATGTGACCCTAATGATGGCCTTTTGATGACTCGAATCAGCGTTAATCTAACTTTAAGGGGCCAGTTTCTCCCCCCAAAAAAGTCATAAAAATCGAAGGATTATAATCAGGGGGAGATCTATCTATCTATCGGTTCATTCTCTTTATTAATATTATAAAAAAAAATATATATATAAGAAAAAAGATACATAAATCCTTAAAACTGTCCACTCAGCTCCTCATCAAAATCCGAGGTGGGCGGCGCATCCTTAACGTCCGCCCGCACCGAGTACTCCTCCCTGTTGACGCTGTAGTAGATGGTTAGGTATTTGCCCGACTGAATCTTCATGGCTATGTAGCCGCTCTGGCCCATGTCCTTGGCCATTCGCCGGTAGATCACATGTCCGCTGCTCAAAATCACTCGCACCTCCTGCGATCCATCCTCGTTTACACGGGCATTCTGCCGCTGGATCTGCACCAGCTGGGATCTCAGAGGACCTGCGCCGCCGCTACCGATGGGCTTCAGTCCCGGCAGCTGGATCAATGGCTCGCAGCGGCAACTCAGCTTCTGGGTTAGCGGGCAGCTGCCCTGAGAGCTGGGTGCGGGCTGCACTGGAGCCGCCACCACCGGCGTGACGGTGCCCAGGCCCAGATTGCCAAGATTCAGACCGCCCAGGGTGCCGAAGCCCCCGTTCATGGAGCCCAGTCCCAGGCCACTGATCAGGCTGGGCAGTCCTCCAACGAGAGTGCCGATGACGGGCAGATTCTGGCCAAAACCGGAGAACCAACCGTTCTGAGGCTGCTGGCTCTGGGCATTCGAGTTGGAGGCCACCGGGGTTACCACAGTGATGGGCTGCAGGGGCTGCAGCTGTTGAAGGGGGGGAAGTGGCTGTAGGGGCTGCAGAGGCTGGGGATTCACATTGACACCGTCAAAGAAGATGGGAAAGTTGCCATTGGCTCCAGCCAAGCTTGTTTGGGCTTTATTCTGGGGGAAAAAACAGATGGGGGATCGTAAAAATATGTGTAGAAATTTAATTAAATTTTAAATTTAATGATTAAAATGTAAAAAAAAGTATCCGAAAGTGATCTTTGTATTTTCTATATTTTTTGTTATATATTTTATTATTTTTAAACCCCTTACCAACTGACGTTTGTCACGTCTATCTAGGGGTTCCTTTGGTTTTATATTATTGGGCTTGGTGGTCGTTGTTGTTGCTTTTGTTGTAGTTAAAGCCATTCCCACAGCTATTAAAGCCAAAAAAGTAATCAAACTCAGTTTAAAGGCCATGATTTTTCGCTATTTAATGTCGTAATCTAAGACTTGTATTCAGCTTTTGATTATTTCGAGTTCCTTTGGTTAGTTCTTAGGCTGTCTTGGCTCTGTCTGATTCGCTTTGATCTGCTGAAGATATCAGCCGCTTCTTATATATGATTTCCAACCAAAAATTTGATGATATTCCTCAGGGTTCTGGTTTCTTGTTTTCGTTCTTATTAGGGTTTTAAGTACTCAAAGGAAACTGGAAACAAAGTGGGTCAGCATTTAAAAACGGGCATTTCCTTAATTATTTATTGTTTTTATATCGAACTGGGTTGCAGTTTAATACAAGGCTTAATCTGACTGCTAAAGAACATATTATAAATATTGCAATAAACATGTTTCGTTTCGTTTCGAGGCAAGGCATTAAATTAAGGCATACTCAGAGGCACATAGCCCCGTAAATATATATATAGTAATGTATACAGTTTCTTGACAAATTGCCTGGGGCTTGCCATGTCCAGTGGCAAAAATCAAATCAAATTAAATTTGTGCCAAAAAAATAATAAAAAAATCAAAGACACAAACAAAGGCAGCGGGGAGGGTGAACGCCAGGCGACAAAAAATGTTTCGTTTGCATGGAAATTTCTGTGTGTGTGTGTGTGTGTGTGTGTGTGAGAGATTTTCAATTTTCCCCAAAAGAAAATGAAAGGAGAAATGAGAGGGAAAGATGGGAAAAACAGGAGCTGAAGCTGTTTGACAGCCGCTTGCTGTTGCGGACTCATAAATCAAAAAAGTTTTTGACAAATTGCACATTGAAGACGACGAGGCCCTCGGTTCGGTTAAATAGAAATTGAATTAAATTAAGAATCTGGCTGGCCCTGAAAATACTATACAGCTACCTACTTGGACTTTAAAAATCGAAGAAGCGGTCTCCAAATGATTCAAGCTGTGCACCGACCGGTTTCAGCTTTAAAAATAATACTTTACAGCGGCAAATATTTTTTATGACACACACAAAAACCGAAATGCAATAAAGGAGGTCCACCAGCCAGGCGAAGAAAGTCAAGGGGAGAGGCGGGAGGGGACTTGGGGATAACAAAAAGCTGCGTCATCAACAGCAGATGCACCATCCACCACCCAACATCAGCCTTGACCCCCGTGGAAAATCTCATTATAAATGACGTTGTTAAAATTACCCAAAAAGCTGTAGAAAAAAGCTGTAGACTTGACAGGCTAGAGAGATCTATGTAGCAGCGCATCCGTCAGGACATCCCAGCTCAATTAATATTATTTTGATTGTCGAGAAATTCCCAAGAAGAATATCCGTATTCCCCCGTAACTGAGCCAATGAACTTCGATTACCCCTGGAAACACTTTTAATTAGCACCCAGGGAATGCCGAAACATATTAGCACGCAAATACCCTCAAAGACATTTACGAGCGGCCAGGGAACACGCTCTGGATTATAAAGTCAATCCTCGCCACTTACCCGTGCACACATTTGCCGATTTTCATCATCTTTTGGCATTATAAAATGCAGTTTAACCCTTAAAGGGTGCGGGAGGTATCGAAATCTACAACTAAGGAGGAAATTTTGTAACAAGAAAAGTATATATATTTGTGAAAGCTTATATTTAAATTTAAATTTTGGATATATTCTAAGCTTTAAAAATGCTTAAAGATAAGATAAGATCTTTCATTTTCAACTTACATTTATTTGTTAATATTTATTTATTTCTCTATGATTTATTTTATTTCTAGAAATGCTAACACACAGTGCTTTAAAATGGAATTTATATATTTTTTATTTATATTTATAAAATATATTATACTAATACAATTTTTACATATTTTTGAATTACAGTTTCCTCTGAAAACTCAAGGGTTAAATGCCATAAGCAGCCTGGTTGGATTATTATTGGCCCTTCCACAACGCCCACAAGTTCTCCCCGGTGTGGCTCTTGTGGGTCTTATTTGTAAAACGGTATTATACCAATGTGAATATAGCATTACACTGCACAAATTTGGCAGCTTAAAAGGTAAATTCGAAAACTTAAGGTTTGTAAATGAAATAAAATGGAAATTGAATATCTTTTGACCAAAAAACCTCCAGGGATAACATATATTCTTGGCCAGGTATCCGTAAATATTTCAGAAGAAAGAATATCAAGGTGGTTTACACTTCATTTTCCTCTGTGCATGCTTCTCCCGACGCCCAAAGTGCATCTTATTAAATCGATGATGACGATGATGGTGATGCTGGCTGAATTCGAGCGCCTTTGAAGCGTATAAATACAAGTCTGGCCTTTTGGCAGCGAGCAAAAGCAAAAGGCAAGGAAAAGCGCCCGCAGTCATGTCAAAATCAAACAAGACCCCAATCCGTAGCATGAGCAGGAGCCGGAGCCGGAGCCGGAGCCTGAGCTGGAACCGAAGCCGATGCCGACTCTGGGCGGAACTTGTTTTGCTCTTGCTGGCGGCACTAATCCCGCTCCTGCAAGCCGGGATTGTTACGGATCCGGACACCAGCACCGCCAGCACCATGGACCCGCATTCGGAGGAGTCCTTGGCCAAGGCAGACGGGGTACGGAGTAGCGTCGACTGCAAATTGACTTTCGATGCGGCGACAATGGACTCGTTAGGCTGCCACAATGAGGAGCCTGTCGTCGTTGAGAAGCCGGGGGCGTGGCCGAGTGCGGGTGCAGGCATGGGTAATAAGCCGGAGGAGGAGAAGGAGGAGGAGGGCTTGGGCGAACAGGAGTTGCAGGCTGGCTCGCAGCTGCAACGCCACTTGAAGGCTCCGGACAGTCAGCCCATCTATGAATTACAATTGGTTGTTTGGCCGTCGGACATTGAGGATGGTGACGACTTTAGTCCGCCGCTGGCCACCACCACCGGAAGAACAACGACCACAAGTAGCACTCCCAAAGCCCCCGAAGCCACTAGCAGCGCCTCACCTATTGAGCAAATATGGCCATTGTACGAGGATCAATTGGTCGTATTTCCGCAAATGGACTTTGAAGAGGAGAATCTTGATTATTTCTTCGATGATTCGGGGAGTCCACCTAGCCCGGCACCAGCACCAGCGCCATCACCATCACCAACCCCATCTCCTGGTCCTGCTTCCACCAGTGTTCATCCCACCGGCACGCCCACACCCACCCCCATTTATGTTGTGCAAAATTATCACGTCATACATCCCAATGGCACCGAGGAGTACAAGTAAGTGCTAGGCTATTTATATATATTAAAAACTAATTTAAAAACATAATAAATAATCCGTTAAATTCTACAACAAAATATTAAAAATTCTGTAAATTAAACCCTTATTTTCCCTTAAACTTCAGGCTAGTTATGAGCAACGGTTTGGTGAACTACAAGAAGATCTACACGAAAACCGTCAAGGATCAGGTGATCAATGTCCAGGAGGGCTACAACTCAGTGCCCATTCCAGGGCCAAAAAATCAAATTCAGACACAGTACTACATAGCCGATGAGCGGGGCTATAATGTCTATCGAAGTGAGTGTATGCAGAGCCTTTAATAATTAATAAATTAATTAGATAATTAATAAAACTAACACACTTTCTCCTGCACAGTCGAGGTACACTACCAGCAGCCAGGACAGCCCAAGCAGGAAAGGCGGAATAAGGGTATAACAAGGGTTCATATGTGAAAGAAGATGAAAGAAAATTCAAATAATAAATATATATATATTTTTTTTCTTTTTTTTTTTGAACCTATAATTTATTTATCAATAAAGAAAAAACCCAAAGTAAGCGAAAAAGTAGCCTTTTAATGATTCTGAAATTCATGTTTGTATAATTTATAATTTATCTATCTATAAATCAGACACAATTAGGTTTAGTATGAATTTCTGAAGGAGATCAACTGTTTCCTGATGGATTTTCGATGCCTTGAACGAATCCCCATTATGTTGGGTTTTTCGTTAATGTTTGTAGTATAAAAATGTTTATTTGTAACGCCGCTCCATGTTCTCAAAATACTCGATAATCTTTTCCGGATAGGCTGCCTTCACTTCGTCAAAGGGCACCGCATCGTTGCCGTCGTATCCCTTCCAGGTCACAAACAGAATGCGTTTCTCACCCACATGGAAGCTGTGCACCACTTTATCCATCTCCAGTCCGCGAGCAAACCCATAGACTTTCGGGTACGGCGGCATCTTCCAGTGGGATGAACTTGAATCAGACGAGTCGTCGTCTTCCTCAAAGTGGGAGTTCTTCATTACCTTTTTTGGATTTTGTTCCACCTTCTGGAACGGTTTCGATTGGATCTTCCAGTTGGATTCGGAGTTCGAACCTTTGCTAGCATGTAACTTCCTAGCTTCATCAACTGTTAGATTCCTCTTGCGGTTCCCTGGGCTTTCATTAGGCTTTCCAAGCAGCTCTTTGTGTGGTTTTATCCCGAATTGCCCATTAGATTCGGCTGGAGTTGATGAATCCATACCTTTGCTAGAACTGCCACTGCAGCTAGGCGTGTCATCGTTGTTAAACTTTAGGTTCTTCTTGGCTTTCACTGAATATTTTCCAGCCTTTTCTGTTGGCTTTCCGGGCAGTTTCGATTGAATCTTCCACTCTTTATAAGGACTTGAATCCAAACCTTCGGGAGAACCGCCACTGGAGTCAGACGTGTTGTAGGCATCATCTTTCAGATTCTTGGGGGCCTTCAATGGGCTCTTACCAATCAGCTCTTTCAGTGGACTTAAAGAATCCATGCCCTTGCGAGAACTGCCACTGGAGTCCGGCGTGTTGCCGGGGTCATCGTCGTTCTGGTTCTCCGCGGTCTCCAATGGACTTATTCCAGCCTCTGCCAGCCTTTCGGTCGGATCCGATTGGATTGTCAACGGGCCAAGGCTAGGAAACTATACAACGTTGTAAGTATAAATTCATTGGGCAAGGAAATCGGTACAACCTTCGCTACAGATATGCATGTAAAAAGGTTCTACTTGGATTTCCTTGTGGCAAAGGAGGAAATTTCTTACACTCATCGAATCCTGATCGTTGGATAGCATCTCTTGGTGGATTCCACGTAGCTGCAACTGCTCGGTTTCATAATCCTCGAGCATCGACAAGCAGGTGCCAAAATTGACCAATGGCACCCAAGTGGAAGGATGGCCTATCCACTTAACTAGCATCTCGACGCGCCCGTTCCTTAACCTTTTCCCAATGACCTTGTCTATGAAGCCTTTAGAATCGGGAACATCGCTCTCCTGGCCGCTTGATGGGGCTATAGGGTTATAGGGCTTGGACTTGGACTTGGAGTCCCAAGGGCGACACGATTTCTTAGAGTGTTTGCGGTTGCTCATGATTTTCTTTTTTTTTTCTGAAAATGAAAGCAGGTCGTCACGCCACCGGAGATGAAAACGAAAAAGGAAGGAGCTTGCCAAGTTGCTAGGAATGTGAGAAAACTATTACAACATCGATATATCGATATGTTTTCAAGTTCATGTCTGTAAAAGCGACAAAAATCACGAGGCAATTTACAATAATAATAATTAATATGCATTTATGAACCCACTTAGAGGCTGGAAAAAGAGTGACAAAATAAAATATGATTTGTGGCATTTATCGTTCGGTTTGCTTGTCGCCCTTGGTGTTGTGTTTTCCTTCTTTGTGTTGGCTTCTGGCAGGTCTGATTATTGTTTTTGTTTTTCTTAGGGGTTTTCCCAGTTTTCCCCCAACATTCAATGTTGTTGTCCTGCTGATTTCTATTCCATTGGCTGTTGTCTTCTCAATCGCAGTGTCGCTGATTGCCATCATTGTTGTTGTCCCTCTAGCTGCTGCACAGGGAGAAATTTTTTAAGTAATACATATCATACATTTCTGACATGAACATTGATTTTGAAATTGTAAAAATTAATAAAAAGATATTCTTTGCCAGCCACTTGACTATCGTAAGTGCAACGTTGCATTTTTTGGCAAAACGCAGCCAAGTTCACATTGTTATTTCAATTTGTTTAAAGTAGTTGTTTCTTTCAGTGCTCTGGCTGTCATCGCACATGAAAACCCTTTGGCAGTCGGGGGTTAAGCGCACGAATGATGCTGATGATGCCATTTAGATGCATATCAAAGTATTTCACTTTTGTCCAATCCTTGTGGCATTTTTGCATTTGTATTTATTTATTATTGTTTTTCTTTGCCTTCCTCGACTGCTGTTGCTTCCTTGCCTTGTTGTTTCTTTCAATTGTAGTTTATGGCCTTTGCTGTCCCGAATTCAGACCGATTTTCCCTTGATTTTCCTCGATTTTCCATCCCCTGCCAGTCCTGTATTGTTGTTTATGCCGCAAAGTTTTCTTGGTCCTCGGGCGTCAGCCTGTTGGCAGCTGTGCAAAGTTTTTCGGGTCTTGGCTTATGATTATTTAAAGTCTTGTTTCGACCCCATTTTATGTGTTTTGCCCCGATCACAAATTCGACCTGAATCCCAATGCCAATGATATTTACTGGAGATGTATTTAAGAACAGTTGCTCTCTTTTTTTCCTTCACAAAGTTCGGGGTCTGCGTAGGGGCTGCATTCTAGGTCCCACAATTAAATCAAACACTAAATTTCCAGTCTTATCGAGTGTAACTGCTTTGCCTCATTTGCTGGAAATTGGGGAACTATCTGTACTATGGAGTGGTAAAGGTTTCCCTCCTCTACCTTTAACCCTTTAATTTTTAATTCGAATTTAAAGATTACAAATAAAACAAATAGTTATTAGGAATAATAATAGTAATTAAATAAAATTTAAATAAAATATGCAAATATTTCAGAAAAAAACTTAAAAATATCTACTCATTTATTGTAAACATTTTAATAAGAAAAAGGACCAGTATTCTGATTTATTAACCTAGAAAAAACTAACAAGGAAAGGCTGTCTTAGTGCTTTTTCGACTTGGTTGTGGTTCTTTTACAATTTTATTTGTCAAAATATTTAATTTAATATTTATCATATAAAAATATAGCTCTAAATAATTCCAAAAAGTGTAGAAACATCAACTAAAATATTGAATAAAATTATAATTATCTATAGATATTGCAATAAATTAGATAAATTCTTTTAGTAATTTTCCATCAAATATAAACCACAATTTTCCACGGCATCAAAGGGTTAAGCTTAAGGATTTTCAGTTTGCTTCTGCAGCTGCAGCTTCTTTATTTTCAGGTCCTTCTTAGCTGGCGTTCAGTTTCCAAGTTGTATATCCGTTCCGTGTCGTCCTGGTCGTCCATCGTTAGCTTTACGGCCTTTGTAATTATCACTTTAATGAACTTTGCCAGTTTGATAGCGAGCCACGGTACAGGTAGCAGCATCCCGGCCCACAATGGAGCCAATGAGGAGCAAGGAGACGTGCCGTGCCCTGCCCCGGCTGTGCGATGGCCAAGGACGTTACGTGCAGAACTGCCTTCGTCGGCGCATTGTGTGCCTTTGGTTTTTATTAAGGAATAAAATTAGTGAGCGCGTGCCGGGAACGCCAAAAATGCCAGTTGCAGTGGCTCCTTGTCCTTGCGCACCATCCGCCCCTACAAGACCCTACCACCTTTACGTCCCTCTTCTCAGGGCCCCAAGGAGAGAGAGCATTAAGGGAAACGGAAGAGGAGGCAAAGGCCTTGGCTATAAAGGCACCGAAAGAAATGATTTAAGGGAAGCATTAATTTGGGATCATGTCAGGGAGTGAATAAAGCAGGAACAAGTAACATTGGAAATGATATTATATTTAAAGTATATATATTATTTTTTATACAATTTATTATTATCGACCTGTATTTGTTTAGCATTTGTAATTGCAGGACTTGAGGTCCAAAAAGAACTATTGCCGATTCTCGAGGTTTGCTTTTACCTTCGCATTGACGCTTAGGATTCCCAACGGACTCTAGCTTAAATGTAATGTAAAGTAACAGCAAATTAAAAATAGTTAGCTAGTGGTCTGATGATTTGGGTAGCGCCAATGAAACCAATGAAAATAAAATATTTAAATATCTTAAAAATTAATAATAATAATTTAAATATATTTATCTTATATATATGCGACTAAAAAGATTATCATTGTTAATCGAATTTCTATTTTAAATTGTTTCAATTTTAAATATCCAATTTTTTCCAGAGTAAAATTCTCCCAATAAGTATGGCAAATACTTGTTTAAAAACAAAAACCCCTGAACAACACTACTAGAAATTATATAAATTATTTATGTAAAAGCATTGCAATTAAAGGGCATATGGTTTAAAGGAACGAAATGTGCATTCCCTTTCTGAACGCTGAAAGTAAACAAAAGTTTTAATTAACGCCCGATTACACAGAGATCAAATTTAAATCGGCCAAATGCAACATTACATCATGGCAGCAGCCAAATAAAACCCCAAAGCTGCGAATGTGTGAACTGAAAAATATTGGTTGGGAAATGGGAAAAAATTGTGGAAAAGTGGTCGGGAGGCATCAAGTTGAAATGACTGCGAAAATGTAAACTGAAAATGCAGCTTCTTCTTTTCGCCGCCTTCCTTGTGGTGGCTTTTACTTTTTTTAACCCACCAGCAGCAGCAGCAATTAATCATAAAAACAGATTTTAACTCGGGCTGACTTGACTTCCCCCGCCACAAACATGAATATAGTATATGGGAGGGGCTCTCCCCACCGCGAGCCATAAAATATGCAAAATATCTTGTAATGTGTTTATCAATGTGTTCGAATGCCTGTCCGTGAGTGCGGAGTGTGAGTGTCTGTGTGTGTGCATGAAACATGGTACGGGCAATGTTCCGGATCCTGGAACTCAGTTACAGGCGGCAACTCCTTGCCTCCGCCAGCAAAATAAATTCATTGAATTAACAAATAGCTTCATGTTCATTTCATACCCAAAGAGCGCGAGGAACAAAAGCAACAAACAAAAATATATAGACGTGTATATATGTATATACATATATATATATATAAATATATATATATATATATAAAAGCAACGCGGGATTACATACGTTACACGGCTTAAAAAATTGAATTTCTTTGTACAAGTGGGCCAACAGCCTGGGTTAACTTCATAGGAATTTCCCAATTTTAAAAGGAGAACAAATTTGAAATTTGCTAAAGTTTCATTACAATTTATACTAATTAGTAAATGTTTAAACAATAACTAAATCATAAATCATACTTAGTCTTTAGGAAAAGTTAGTTTTTCTACGCCTAACAAAACTGCATACTACGTTTAGGGTTCTTTTCAATTTCATTTTTTCTTAATTTTTTAGAATTTTAATGATACATATTTACATATTTTTGCAAAAATGGTGCGATTTATTTTGTGAAAAATAATTCAGAATGCTGTTCTGAGTTCGTTTTTTAAGCCTAACAAAACTACATACCACGCCTGCAATCTCTACTTCTGGTCTGCGTTTTTGGTACAAGAAGAGTTGGCAAAACATTGGTGTCTAAAAAATAAAGTTAATATTAAAATATAAAAGGCCTATAATATATTGTTATATATAAAAAATATATATTTTTTCTTAAATATATATTTTAAATATGGGCATTTCCATGGTGTCGCACGCGACATTCGTACGCATTCAAAGCAAACAAGAAAGGAAGCTAACTTCGGCACGCCGAATACCTTTGTATACACTTGCAGATTGGTTTTGATGTTTATATGTATTATAGATTTAAATGCTGAAAACACTCACAAAACGGGGTTTCATTACATTTTACCTATACTTATTATGTTTACAGTTTGACAGTTTCAGTTTTACATTCCCAGCTTTACATATTTTATACATTTACCGATCGCTTCTATGGCAGCTATATGATATAGTTGTCCGATTTTTATAAAATTAGAAGAGCATATATCCATTTTATTTCGACTTTTTGCATTCTTCTTGTGATGTTAGTAAACAACAGTCAAAGCATAATGCCTCGGTTTGGATGTAATTATCAAAAGAAAACAGGCCCATTTTTATGATGTTTTTCATCAAAATATTGAAAAATCGTGTTTGCGCGAATATGGATTCGAATATTTCGAAATTTTTTTTAGAATATGATAAAACCCTTCAAATTTAATCAATTGACCTTAACCTAATGTTACTATCTTGGAAAAAAAACATTTTAGAAAAGTTTTAGTTTTTTGGCCGCGGTTGAAATTTCTGTGGAAATGCCCATATATATATTTTTCGTTTATCATTTTATTTTTCAGCGACATGTTACTATTATTTTGACCCCATTTGTGCATATTTGTGGGTCGCACCTAACCTTGATTTTCCCCGGAAGTTAAGCGGGGGGTTTGCGGGCAATGCTCTGAGTGGATTTTCGTTAAAAATTTAAATAAATTTCACAGTTGTTTTGCGGCTGGCAATTCCCTGGTTTTTCGTCAACCGTTATTATTATTTTTTTGGCTAAAGTAAAAATAATTGGAGTACTTAATAAATACTTTAAATAACAAATTCGAGTTCGTTATCCCTTAATTATTTTTTTTGGGAAGTCTAAAGCCCACTAGGTGACTATATTAATATTTATTATATTAAAACAAGATATTACAATTATTTATTAAGGGTTTAAACACACATTTGTAAACCTTAAAAAACAAAACATATTAAGAAAAACACTTTTCTTACTAAAATTAAATGTTAAAGTTTATATTGAGGCATTGAAATCCTTTAGTTTACTTTAAAAAAAAACTTTAATTATTTAATAGTAATTTATTTTTCTAACATAATTAGAAGTCAATAGAGCCCTTAATCCTATATTAAATTATTTTAAAAAATTCTAAAATAAAACCCCCAATAAAAACACCTATTTTGTGCTGCATTTCACGACTCACCATAGCCTAAGCTACCCGAAAATCCTGCGCATACCCTGACCCTGATCACCGAAATAAGCGCAACCAATTTGGAATGTTAATTCCCTGCATGAAATACGTACGCAGCGCCAGATGAATTTAATCCAAGCCAATAGGTTTGTAATCCGCCTGTAATTCTTGCCGCAAAAAATGCACATGGATGTGCTTCATACATGGGAAATGAAAGGAATTACAAATTCAAGGAGCTGGAGCAAAAAAGTTCATTGCATAATTTGCGGCATGCACGCTAAAATAATGAACTTTCGCTTGCATAAACAAAGGAGTGTGGCAAAGGCTTTTAAAAGAGAAAAAAAAGAGAAGTAAGTTAGTTAGTTAGTTGGACGGAATCTTGGGGACAACTTCAGCCTGGCAATTTCATTAAGGAGAAAAAATGGGAGGTGGCAAAAAAATAATAAAATTTTGCTTGCACTTTGTAATTTGTTGAGGGCTGCAGGCCGTTCCGGAAATTGTTTTCTTGCTGAAAAAATACTTGGCTTATTTTTACCGACTTGCCAAATATTTCTGATTATGTTCCTGGCTCGTCTGCCGCCCTATTTTCATCTTTAATGAACCTTTTTCCTGGTTCATTTGAAGCCGCCAAGCCCCAGCCCTATGATAATTTCGTTTTCCATTTTCCATTGCCCCTTCCTGTTTTCTGTTTTTTTTTTTAGCTTTTTGTGTTGCCAGGATCTCTCTCTCTCGGCCGTTTGCTGCGGTCGCTGATGAACTGCACACATCACCCACCGGCAAACAACAGCGATGTCCTTTTAGCACATCCTGCCCACACACCTGCCGTGTGTCCTGCGTCCTGCGTCCTTTGGGTACACCTCCTTGCTCTCTGGCGCCCGCGGTCGCAAAGCTAAACGCGACTGTCGCTGCTTAAAAGCCATTTTTGCATTTTATATTTAATTTTTTTGCCGCCCCCTCCACGCGGACTCCCAGAAATGCCATTCCTTTCGCCACCCACTCAGTGACGTTTATCCTTTCCCATACCCTCCCAAAGGGTATCTTCTTTCTTGTAAGTAAAATCTAGGAATAAGTAGTTATTTACACGTTTTTTCAAATATTATTAAGTTAATTAATTTATTTTATAAATCAAAAAAATTATATTATTCTATATTTTAGAAAAAATGTGAAATTGTCGCCAGGACAAATGCTTTTATAGGGCATTTTCCCAATTTGTTTGGGTCAAGTTAATCTTTCGTACTTGCTCATTTTTTGGTGTCCTCTGCACCTCTGTTTATTCTTTATCCTTTCTCCTTTCTCCTTTTTTTTTTTAGAATTTTTTTGTGCCGCCGTTTTGCGCTGTTTGTTGCTGTTACCGCAGCATGCAAACATTTTGTAGCTGTGTCCTGGGAAAGGGCCGATGTCCTAGTTAAACTTTGCCTGCTTTGTCACATTTGCAATATTTATTGCCTTTTGATTATATTTCAGCCGAGGCAAAAACAAAATAACAACAAAGCACAAAAACAAAAATAATATAAAAAGGAAAAGCTAAAAAGCTTGTGTGTAATTTTTTTTTGAGGCATTTAAGAATTTTCCTTCATTTTTTGTATTTTCTTTTTATTTTTCGTGTGATGCGAATTTAATGGAAAACCCCAAAGGGGAAGTGGCATTGACATTGACTTGACGGATCCTGGGAAATTTTTAAGGTTTTCGCCAAGTCTTTAATCGAGTCAAAGTTTGTTTGTTTGAGCATTTTTCCAAGTGGACGGAGATTGTTCACCGACTTACTTACTTACTTACTTAGTTGCTGGATTTTTCCACTCTTTAATAAGCGTCAAAGTTAACAAAGTTGCAGCCGGGAGAACTTTGGCTCAACTCGACTTTTTCCACTTGTATTTGGTTTTATTTTATACCAACCATCCACCGCCCGTTTTCCCAGCTTTTCAGGAAGCAGATCCAACTGTGATTGTAAAGTTTCATTGATAATTTTAACGAGTCCTTGTTTTTAGGGAGGATTTTTGAACAGAATGGGGATTGCGAGTTCTTTTTGTTGGGCTGCAAAGGCGCTTTAAGCACTCCTGAAAAGTTGGTTTTTGGACAATAATTCATGGAATAAATAGGGGGAGTTTTTTCTTTTATTTTTAATTGTTTTTAGTTGCACTTTAAACTTATATATATTTATTTAGTTGTTCTTTATTTTATATATTTTTTCTTTAATCAAATCAAGTGTCCACGGTGGAGAGTCAACCTACATCTTCCCCCAGTTTTCCCCTACTTTTTCCCTTGTATTGCTTTCATTTCAATCAGCTTTACCTCTGCAATTTCACACACATTTCCTAATTTTAGTCTGCAGTTTTTTTTTTAAATATATATTATTTTTAAAACTCGTCTTCCTTGGCTTCGGATTTGGTGTGTGCCTTCTGGTCTTATGCAACCACTTGGCTTAATCTGATTTGAAATCAATTTCAATTTAATATCCACACAAATCATCCTTTATTCTTTTTTGGCGGCCTGCAATTAAGCCAGGCCAGGCCAGGCCGGCAATGCAATCCGATCTCAAGATGATTTTTTATGGCCCTTTATGTTTTATGACTTAATAGTCGGGCCCACCACCGAAAAAGGTGCAAAAATTGAATTAATTCTGCAAGTCAGCCGACGGAACATTGAACTCGTTTCCCGGGGCACATCCCTCCTGTCGGCACTTAATAAATTTATGATGAACCTTCACACACTCTTGGCTACGGAATGCGGGACTGTTTTTCGTTCCATTTTCACTTCAGTTCTATTCCCGGCACTGAGAACAGCTGGAAAATGTATGAGAATATTGTAAAATATTAGAGGAAAATGATTAACTTAATAAAATTTACCAAAGAACTTGTATTTTTATTTTAAAAAACTTAACAGGTCTTCTATTTATATTCTGGATTTTGTTTTTAGAGTACAAACAACACCATATTTTTTCTGTCTGTGCTGGACAACATCTCGGAACATTGCGATTCATTTCGTTTGGTTTGGTTTCGTTTTCGTTTCTTAATTGCCTTTGGCTCCAGAAGCTCGCCAAAAATGTGTTAAAAATGCAAAAATATGGCCAAATATTCCCAGTACATATATCGTATATATAAAAACATATACAAACATATATATGTGTGTATCTGAATGTCAGGGCAAACGGGGGATGCCCTGCACTTTTATGTTTTATTGCCCCGAAACGCTTTGCGGTAAATTTATTGCCAAATTGTCGGCGACTTTCGAAAATTCACGAAATCTTCTTAGCCAAAAGAAAAAAATAATACAAAAAAATACAAAAACAGGGGCGGCGACCATAAAAACGGAGCCCCAACAGCTACAAACAAGCTGAAACATCTTTAATAATAAATTCATAATTATCGCATCCTTTGCCTTAAGACAATTTTTTATTATTTTTTAATCTCATTTCATTGAACACAACAACACAAAAAAAAAAGAGGGAAAAAAATGTGAAAAACATAAAATTCATAATAATATAATACGAGTAGTCGTCGGGGCCCAGCGAAACGAGAGGCAGCGCAATAATAATAATGAGGATGGTGTGCAATTACAGTTCCTCAGTAGCGGCCCCCTCTGCGATTCGGAGTCGCGTTCCCCGCTCCTGCTCCCGTTCCCGTTCCCCGGGGCGTCGACGTGGACAATTGGGAGGGGGTTACCGGAGCAGAGGGAGACTCCGACCGGGAACTGGAAGTGGCATCCAAGGGGAAGGTCTCCCCGGCCAGGGGCACTTCAATGGAACGCGGCAGGTTGGGATACACTTGCGGTGTGATCGCTGTGGGCGGAAAAATAATAATAAATAATAAGAACAATATTGGAAAATTTATAAAAAAAAGAGAGAAAGAAAGAAATTCATATCAGTTACTAATCAGGGACTTAAAGTTGGAATTACTCGAACTTAACCATTAATTATTGAAATTGAAATTAGTTCTTTATCGAATTAAATGTTTTAATTACTAAACACAACTCACTTTTTTTAAATAATAAAATATTTATGATATAGTTAAGTTATATGCTCAAGTTCATCTAGATTATAGATCAAATTTAGACTGAGTAAAGACTGCTTAGACTGCTTTACACACTTTAAATCTCACTTCCCTTGATTAAACACCGATTAATAATTAAACCGATCAATAATTATACTCACATTGATTCTGCCGATAACCAAATTGATCGGCATTGTAGAACACGGTGATGAACCGTCCATCGGTCATTCGATACGAATAATAGCCAACGACCATCAGGGTCTTGATCTCGTTGATTTTGCCAAAGTATCCGCGCTCATAGCGCGATGTTCCATCGTCCAATTCGAATCGATACTCGTAACTGCCATCGGGATATCGGTTATCGAAACGATCCAATAAGCGCACCTTGGCCTCCGATCCACTCCTCTCGCTCTCCACGATCTGCTGGGCGGCGGAGAGAGAGAGCAGCAGGAAAATAGAGAGCAGGAATGCACCGGAAGCTGCCATCTTGTGTGAACTGATGTCTGTGTGTGTGTGTGTGAGGGAGGGGAAATGGGAAGTGATTTGTGTGCGTGTGTGCGGATTTGTGGGTGTTGCGGTGTGTTGGCGTGTGCTGTCGCGTGTGAATTTCTTAACAGTTTAATTCGGAAACAGTGTTACTTTGGCTTTTTATAGTCGTCCACATCGCAGGCAGCGGCTGCGGCTGCGGCAGAAACGCGGCAGCGACTGAGACGCGCAAGATCTTCGACCTGGAGCAGGCTATTTCAAAAAAGTCGTGGGGATGGGGATGAGGCGGCGGCCAAATACACTGGGAAATGTCATTTAAACGGAAGAAAAATATTTTATATTCAAAATTAAAATCACCAAATTTTGGTTAACTCTGCCATTTACAGGGATTCAAGAAAGGATCCAAAAAAGTTCTCTTTCCTGCTCTTTCTTTGGCCTGATCCTTGTGGGTTTTTAAAAGTATTTATTTACAGATTTCCGAGTCTGCAAATAGCTTGCTTTTGCTGTAAATTACATTTGTAAAAACCCACTAATTTCGCCCAGTGCAGGCACATTTCCTACTCTCTCTCTCTCGCCCTCTCTGTTCTCAGTGCTAATCGTACAAAAAAAATCTTAATTTCATCTACTTACACACATGCTTATCGCTGTGGCCTGCTCAGCGGGTAAAGGGGGGCTAGGGGGGCTAGGGCTGGACGAGGGGCGGGGCCGGGGCTGGACAGGTTGCTAACTGGCCAATTTGGTTGCGCCTCTTTTGTGTGTTTGCTTTTGGCGCTGCTTCGCTGTTCGCACGGCCGCCAAATTGGGCTCATTGGGTTAAGGAGGGGCTGGGTTAAGGGTGAACTTGGGGGGTGGGGGGGGGAGGGTAACGGGTATGGGCAATCAAAGTTGGCAACTGATACACCAGACATAATCGATTTGCTGCCAATTGATGTATGGCCCAGGCAAGCGCTACAAAGTGCCTTTAATGCCGCCTGTTCAGAATGAATGTCCAATATCTATCTAATAAGCCAGATAAATTATATCATTAAATGATTTATGTGGCCATAGTGACATGATCATGAGTGCGGAAATCGCGCTTCTCTGGCTATCTTTATGCATATTTCAGCAAATAATAAAAGCCCGAAAAGTGTCAGATATCTTTAAACCAAAGATATTTAACTTCAAGTTGTTAATTTCTATATTATTTTTTAACTATTGTTAACTTTAAGGGTTTAATTATTGTATTTAGAAACTTTTTATGAATATATTTTACAATTTATTAATTTAAATATTTTATAAATTGTATTTATATATATTTATAGGGTATTATAATTTTAATTAGAAGCTTGCCAAGCCCTGAAGAAGTCATTTTCGACCCCATAAATCATACATATATATTCCTGATCAGCATCAAAAGCCAAGTCAATCTAGCCCTTTTCCAAAGAAACAAAATTTCAAAAATGTATTTTTCAAGTTACACCATTAAAATTATCAAAAAATTGGAAAAAAAAGAAAATTGAAAAATACTTTAAACTTGTTAAGCAGATTTATTAACCTTATAAAAACTAAGACAAAAACGCTTTTCGCATAGAATTTTATGTATTTTTGGCTTAGTTATAAATTTAAAAATCAATTTACTAAAATGTTATAACTTTTAAAATTGTAAAAATTGTTTAATTCAAATTCATACACCCAAAAACACCTTTATCAACAGACTTACCACCTCTTAGCACCCACTGTTTTGCGGCAGTAGCTCAAAAATATTCATAAACCCCACAATTTGGGCGGCTCTGTCATCGCTCAAAAAGCTCAAAAAGTGGGGATTCCATTTGGAGCAGATGCAACACAACCACCACACAAGGGGAGATGGCCCGGAAGCCAGCCGAGGGAAGGAGCAAGCTGGGCCACTCTGTGTCCTGCGGCCAATTAGGGCTAATTTATGATTTCAATCATTTCTTAATTGCATTTAATGTGCAGCGATTTAGCGGGCCCCTCAGCTTGCAGGCCTGGGACCTGCCGAAGGTCAGGGGCGTGACAGGGGGCAGGGGGGCTGGGACCAAACGAGAGGGACTACTTGGTCAGTCGGCCAAAGTTAATGATGTGCAATTGAGCCGGGTTGCCGGAGGGAGGAGCGCGGAACTTAACTGGCTTTGGCATAGTGCTGGTGCCTGGTGCCTGGTGCTCCAGGGCAGCTGTCGATACGTCGACACGGACTTATCGCCATTTAATTAATTTGCGCACACCTCAAAGGTCAGGCCAGTGCGTTTAAAAATCACTCTCAATAAATGTATTATTGTTGTTGTTTTTTGTGTATAATTTAATGATTGATCGGTGGGGATTTTTATTAAATAAAGACATAAATATATCTGGAAATTTGGAGGAATCTTTAAGTCACTTGAATTTTTTTCAACTAAATGTATATAATTTTATATACGGAATGTTTTCTTTCCGCTTTCCTCTTCCACCAAAATATGAATTAAAACAATTGTGGTTTAATTTTTCAGCTCCTCCATTGTTGAATTTTAGTTAAATTCTTTTGTTTTTTTTTTTTTTTTTTTTGGTTTTTGTCAAGCCAAGGCAAGTGCAGATTTATAGCCAAGTAGCAGTGACAGGACAGTGACAATCGCAGTCACAGTCGCTCACTCACACTGGGTGAGTCAGTCACGCAGTCACTCTGTCAGTTTGCCAGTTTGTCGCCCTGTCAGTACGGGGCCAAAAAAGCGCGCTAAACTTGCCAAAGTGGCAGCAGCAGCAGCAGCAGCAGCAGCAGCACCAGCAACTTCCTTCATCCTGGCGTAAACTGATTTATTTATAAACGTATTTTATCTCTGCCTGTGACAAAGCATTCATTTCACATTCTGGCGGACAAAAGGCAGGGGCCCCCCTTCCCCTTCACAAATTAAAATACAAAAGTGCAAAAATGTTTGGCAAACTTGTTGCGCCCCAATTGAGGCACACAGGCAGAAAAATAAATAAATAAATCAAATAAATAATAAATCAAATTTAGTTTAAGGGTTTAAATAATTTGTTGTTATTTGAAGTACTATATTTCTTATTATTTTGCCTGAAAGAGTGGTAGAGGCCTTTCTCTCGGTGCTGATGTGTAAAGGAGGGAGGGGCCTTTAAAGGGGGGGAAGAGCCCCATCAGCAAGGTCATTTGTTTTGTATGTCGATGACAAAGACACCGTCCGAGAAGAATCCACAACAGAAGGAGGAAGATGTTTCTGTGCAGTCGTGACAGGAAGTGATTCCTGGTACTATATGCTGATGCACTGTGCCAAATAAGGCACTCAGAGCTGCATAACATTTTTGAATAATTTTTAATTTCCAAAATAGGGTTTTTCTAATAGCCAAGAATTAAGAAAATATTTTTTTGGCATGTAGAAATCCCTTAAATCCCTGGAAAACCCATATTTTCTCCAAGTGTGGCTCTTTGCCTTTGCTGCTGTCTGTCTGTGATGCTAAATGGTTGAGACAACAACGCTGTTTGTCATTACCGGGCTTCGGTTATTTTTGGGCAGTACACTTAAAGAAATAGATATATTTGAGATAAAAATCAATTTTAAAAATTATTTTCTGAAATTATCAGCAAAAGAAAATATATTTTCATGATTTTCCTTAATTGTAATGCTAGTTTTTTATTTATTTTTATTTATTTTTATTTATTTTTATTTATTTTTATTTTTTTTGAGTGCAGCAACAACAACATCGACATTCAAGAAGCAGCAGGAGCCCCAGTTTGCCTTACTTTGTGGGTGTCAGCGATAGGACCCGCGGCAGTCTGTTGACGACGTGCTGCAGCTTTCAGCACGCAGCCAAAACACAGGCACAGTGGGGCAAAGGCGAGCAGAAGTGGAAACAAATTAATAAATATTCATAAGCCACATCAATTCTTTAACTAAAAATAAAATTTGATAATTTATTTAACATCTAACTTCTTTTAAATATAAATAATAATTATAATATATTAAAAAATATAAAACTCATTCAAATATAAGGATAATTTAAGCTTTTGATAAGTTCAGTTTATTATTTATCAATATAATCAACTCTACATTTTATTTACTCATCCCTTGCAAGTTTATATTCACAAATATCTTTCACCATGGCTCTTGATGTTGTCAATTGCTCTCAAGTGAATCTACAGCCCAAAAAAAATAAATAAATAAATAAATTCGCCGACGAGACGAGACCAGAAGAAATCGCAGATACAGATACAGATACAGATACAGATACAGACTTAGCCACAGATAAACACACGGAACAGAACCAGCCAGTGGTTGGGTGGTGGCGGTTAAAGGGGGGCGACAGACAAAGTTACACACAAATAATGTACGAAAGTGGCTTATAAAACAAAATTTGTATGAATGGTCCATGTAGCGCTGGCTGCCTACGTGACATGACATCCCCGAGATACAACTTGTTGTGGAAGCCCCTTCTCACACCCCCACTTAACCACCGCTGAAAGCAGAGGTGTGCTCAGGAGGGGACCCAACTAAATTCAAGACATGTTGTTCAGAGTTGTTCACTTTGATGACTTATCTGTCACATGTTCATCCACAATTGTTCATTCTTTGTTGTTTATAGATCTCCTGTTCACTTAGCTGCCTCCGTGTTCACTTGCTCTCTTGTTCATTTATGGGTTTGACTTGCTCTCTCTCTCCTTTATCCTTTCAGTTCAGTGCGCTCCTTGCTGAGTTGTTCACATTGCTTTTCTGTTCATTTAGCTGATCATTTGCTCAGTTCACTTAGCTTAATATATAATTGCATTTCAGGAATATTTCCCAAAAAAAAAAAAAAACTAATTTCATTTATAATTTATTACACAAATATGTGAAATAAAATACATAAAAACCTATATTAGAAGTACAGCCCCCGTAAATAAGGCTATGCTTACGGCACTGATTCAGATAGCTACCTTTTAGTCCGGACTCCGTAGCACTTTGCCCACTTTTTTGTGGCTTTGAGTCTGCTGCCTGTTGCCGGCAATGGAATAATTCCCATCAAATCACGTCCCTCGCCCGCCTTCTTTTTTCCTTCTTTCTTTACTTTTTTTCTTGCGGTGCTCTTCAAAACTCAGATACAGATACAGATTTCTGCTGGTTGTTTTTCTTTTTGGGCTGTGCTTTTTTATATGATATGCCGAGCATCTCAAAACAATTTGTAAGACTTAAGCTGAGTTTGTTTGGTGTCTTGCATAAATTATAAAATCCGCAAGCTGAGTGCCCGTGCAAAAAAACAAAAAAAAAAAAAAAAATGAAATAAAGATAAACAAATACCAGGAATAGGGAGCAGGGAAAAGGGTGTGTGCTAACAACGAAACTTAGCATAGGTTCACAGAGAGAAAATATTGCAAGTTTTAAATTGGAGACTTAAGAGCAAAGGAGTCTTAAAAAGAAATCATAATTTTACAAATTAATATAATTAAATATTAATTACAATTCTCTTAAACTCTTTTTTTTTTTGGCAAGTTTCCCTGATTTTCTCATAAGCTTTTTATCCTAGCATCTCCAAGTGAAGTTCTGCAGATCTAGGACTGCCACAATTGTATCTGTGTGCCTCGGCTTGCATAAATTTATTAAGCGGCTAAGCCAGGACGAAATTCACAATTCTCAATTACCGAAAATACGGCAGAGTTTCTGGCCGGCGGGGCCGAGTGGTCCAAGTGCAGCTGCAGTCCCTCTAATGTGTATCTTACGGATGCGGATCCGGATGCGGACTACCCTGGACTACACACACAACTAATCCAAGTCAATAAAATTCTAACCATAAAAAGGGGCAGGCCGTGGGCCATGGTCCTGGAATTCTTATTGGATTTTGCTGACCGTGGCTAAAATTGCAGCTGAGGTCTCCCATTAAATCTACATTTTTGCTGGCAAAAACCCCCACCAAGTGTGTGCATATGTGCCTCGGGGCGAGCGTGGGAGTGTGGCGTGTGTGTGTTTCCGGTCACAATTGAAATTTACGGAGAGCCGCATTATTAATCTCAAGATTAGATTGAGTCTTGTATTTGATAAACGCCAAATGTTTATGCCAAATATTTATGCCTTACCTAACTGTGTGTGCAAAGGGGTGTGCAAAATACCCCCAAGTAGTACTTATGGGTATGGGTGCGTGCACAGATTGCAGGGGCTCACATAATGCCCGGTAAAGGGGGTTAAATGCAGTGAGAGAAATATGGAAGAAGATGGAGGGGTTGTTGTAAATTATGCAATTTTAATTTGCCAGCTCAAATCGAATACTTAAAGCCTCTAAGGAATTGGTAAATCCAAAGTTAAAGTTAAGTCCTTAAAAGTTTTAAGAAAATCCTATTTAATATTTATAAAAAATCTAACTTTCTGTATGTGAGGAGTGAGAGTTGCCCGGGTATGTGCCCAGTTTACCAATGTCTTAGCCTTTTTTTAAGTTTGCTACGTTTTTTCTGTTGAGTTCGCTTGGTTTTTTTTGTTTTTTTTTTTTTGGGTTATTTTTCGCGTGTGTGCTCTCATTGTGCTTTGAGGTTTGATAACCTCGATATAAATCTGGAAAATGCCGCAGTCACTCACACACGCAGTTTCTGGCTGTTTGGCATTCGGGCTTCCCTGCAAATTTACCATGGGAAGTAGAGTAAGAATTTCTTTTGAAATTGATTTAAAATACAGATTTTAGGATATTTTATAGAAGTAACAAATATTTTACATTCAAGAAAGATAAAAATATTTAATAAAAAAATTAAATGAGAAGGTTTTTCATATTTAAGAATGCTTTCTTGGTAGTTCTAAAGATTAACCTAATTATTGGTGCTTTTTACCCATGGTTCCCTATAGGTCAACGCTTCGTTTCGGTTTCGGTTTTTGGTTTTGGTTTCGTCTCTGCATTTGGACTTCTCCGGATAATCGCACGTCCGTCGGACTTGGAGCCGCTCTGGAGCTGAAGTTCAATGGCTGGACATTGCCATTCCCGGACGGATTTCCATTGCCATTCAATTTGTGTGTGTCGGCGCTTTGAATTTTTCATGCGACACGTCAATTATGGCCATTACTCAATTTATTTATTTACTTTGCTATTTATTTATTTACAATACGGAAGTCGGGCTCGATTCAGACATGGGTCAGCTCCCAGGAGGACTCGGTCTGGCTCCCTTCCCCCCCTCCCCCCTTTTTTTTTTTGTTGTTTTCAGCTGTATTTCAGCTCCTTTCCCCCCCGTTCTTACTTACCAAAGAGTGCTCTTCGCATGAAGATAAATTAATTTGGGCAAATGGCCAAATGATGGGCCTGGGGGTTAAGGGCTAAGCGGCGGGCCTGTGAATATTTACATAAGTAATCAGGGACAAGGGTCATCGATGACCCATGGCACCTTATAAATAGCCACAAGTGCTTGGGCCCACTCAGCGAAAATCTGGCCAGATCGAACCCATTTCTCGCTGTGCTGAAACATATTTTCCGGGGTGCATAATCCATCATATATTGGGTAGAGCCGCCTGTCTGGAAAACGCTAATGTGTTTGAGTTTTCCCGAGGGGATTGTGTGATTGGAAGAGGATCGGGGCGGGATTGGGGGATGCTGGGAAGAAGTGAATCCAGTGCAAAGTCCATTCAATCTTCATTTCCAATGCCGCTGCTTTTATGGGGCTTCACGTGAGTGCGGTAAATGTGTAAACTTTGATGCAGGCAAGGAACGTAAAAAAGTATGGAGAAGGAGGAGGAGGAGACCACCCAACCCCTTCCAGAATTGCAGCCAAGGTTATGCCCGTGCCAGAGATGGTAGCGTGACTCACGCGGTTCGTTTATTCATTACATTCAGCCCGCTTGCACACTCAACTCATTCACACTCTCGATCCTGGGCTGGGAGGCGGTCCTTACCATTCATTACGTGGGCATGGCTGACTCGTAAATACAAAACGGGCCAAAGGGAGCTAACGGGGTCAAAAGGACGAGCCCGAATCTCTGGCCCGCATAGGATTAGTAGCGAAATGAATAGCTGCAGTTATCCTGCCACAGAACTCGGTACCGATTCAGCCGCCGAATCACTGAAAGAAAATAATTAAGAAGTAAGTTTCGTTAGGAAATAAATCGATTTAATTTGATATATATTTTTTTAGCTTTTAATTGCTGCTCAAAATTAATTAATTGAATATTTCTTTAGCTTCTATTTGCTGCTTACTTTGTAATTATCTCTGTTAACCCAATTTCCGGCAGTGTATCCTGCATTTTACGAGCATATGTGGGAGTGCTGCGGCGAAGGCAAAGGTAAGCAGCCGAGTCTTACGGGCACATGCAGCCTGGGAAAGCTGGGAAAGCTGGAAAAGCTGGAAAAGGGCCCCAGCTATAGCCAGAGATGGAGCTGTTTTATGAATGCTCACCGATTTGCCGCCGACAAATCTTTTGGCATCGCCTTTTCACCATGGCGGCCACCCAATTTGGTACGTTTTTACAGAAACCATTTAAATTGAAACCAGCAAGAACTGAGCATGGAGAGGAGCATTGCCACAAAAGGCCACCGACAACCGACAGTCGGCAGCTGGCGAATTGAGGCTCGGCATGTGTTTTTGTCAGCCGCCTCATAATGTCCCATCTTTTGGCCATCAACGGGGGCCTCCCCTGTGCCCCTAAACTATTTGGAAATCGCACCAAATAGACCGACCTGGGCGGAAAGTAATTATGGGGGCAGTTCCTAAAAGCCTGCAGCTTGCATGAGTGTTGATATTTCTTCTATAATTTATAATTCCTTAAATGTACACAAAAAAAAAAATGAAAGGGTTTTAAATATTAATATTAAAGCACACAGAAAGGGGAGGGAGGACACTTAGGGAGCTGTCAGGCAAGGAATTGAGACACATTTCCAAAGTCCAAAGTCGAAGATGAAGATGAAGTCAAGTGGAGCCTAGAGCTGGTAGCTGGTAACTCCTTGGAACTCGGAATATAGTGACTGGCCAACTCAACTGTGTCGGACTGGTGACTGCAACAATTGTTTTCAATTTGATTTGCAGCAAGTAGAGCGAGTTGCGAGCCAGTCAAGTGTGTGTCCCTCCCAGGGGGAGGGTGTCCCCTAATGTTCGGGCCTTCAGTTTGAGTTGCCTTCATCATCAACATCGTCAGGAGCAGCAGCAGAAGCATCATCATCGTCGTCGTCGTCGTCGTCATCATCATCATCAGCCGCCTCGCTTGCCAAAATGTCGTTGGCCAAAGTTGATGGCTCGGTCTCGGTTTCGGTTTCGGTCTCGACTTGGCTTACAGCCTGCAGCCAAAGGGGGAAAATACACAGAGAGAAATAATGTATATATAAATGTATTAGAAAATATTATATGTGATAAATGGAGTTCATGGAAAAGTATAGGTTTCCTTTTTTAACCCCCGAATAGAAGCTTATGAGCTAGCTTTTGTTTTCTGTGTACTGATACAGGAGAGAGGCTCCAGTCGCACTTACATTGGGTACCCGCTCGGTGCCAGCTACACTTGTGTCCACATCCCCATCCACAATGTCCTCCACATTCTCCACATCCTGCTCGTTACGCTCCGGGTCGCTTATTGAATTTCGCTTAGACCCCGCTCCACCTCCCATTCCCGTTCCCGTTCCCGATTCCATTTTGGATCCCACTCCGGGCACTTCCAGGCTGCGCGGCAACACCGGCCTCTCTCCGGTTAGCGTCTCTGCGTTTTGGATAAATTCATTAGCGGCTGAAGGAACAAGTAGTAACGCTGAAGCCTCCGGCATGGAATTATGGATGTCCTTAACCTCGATCATACCATATCCTAGGCCCTGGGCTAGCTGTTGATACTCACGCATGTCCACATGATAGCCTCGATTGTCCGCCGTGTAGAATATGGTAGAGAACTGGTCATTGGGCAGGGGCACCGAGTAGTAGCCCTTTTTGGCCAGGACCAGATCCTTGCCCACGGGCAGCCAGTAGGCGCGCTCATAGCGGGTGTTGCCATTGTCCAGCTGGAATCTATATTCATATATATATATTTTCGTTTGATTTTTAAGAGTTTGCAAAGACAGCTCACCTGAACTCATACTCTCCATCCGCAGATCTGCGATCGAAGCTGTCAATCAGGCGGGGACTCACTTGGGGAGGTGAGGGAGCAGGAAGTGGAATCTGAACAGGAGCCTGAACTGGTGCCTGAACTGGAGCCTGAACTGGAGCCTGAACATGAGCAGGAGCTGACACCACCAGTGGTGGCCAGTGATGAACATACTGATGCCTGTCCGCCTTCTCAGTGGTACTCCTTGGGGTGGTCGTACGCCTGGGCCTCCTCGTCCACCGCGAGTCCACGGGACTGAGGACTAGCAGGAGCATCATCAGCATCACCGCCAGCGGACCGACTTTCGGGGCAAACTCGAACATGCTGCTCAGAATTGAATAATTGATTGTGTGGCATTGCCAAGCATATCGCCTTATATATACCCAAGACCGCCGCAGAGGCCACTCGAGTGAAGCCTTTCGGCACTAAAGATGAAAAATGTCCGGCAGAGCAGGCCTGTTCACCCAGAAAAAAAAAACAACAACAAAAACAAAAAGGAGTCAAATGAAAAGAAAGACCCAGGCAACAGGCTGGTCTTGAAGTATAATAAACCCATTCCTCACACGTCAATGGCAATGATTTGGCAGTGCTTTTGGGGTCTCGCCTCCCACATTCCCACATCCTCGGTTCTCTTGAGTTCTTCTTCCCTTCCGAGTGCTTTCTCCCCGAGGTCAGTGCTGTCAGATCAGCATTTTTTCAGACGAAAAAAGATATCCTAAATAAAGGATCATTCAAATCTAAATATTAATATTAAGTAAGATCTATAGAATTTAAATTCTGGAAAAAAACAAAAGCACTTTCATTTCCAAGAATTCCCTTGGGTAAACCATTTTCCCCCTTTGTAAAGTCCCTTTTCTCCTTGGCCAACTCTGGTGCCACCTCCTTCTCCTCCTCTGAACGCTTCTCTGGTGGGTTTTGTGAGGCGTCACTGTGCCTTTTGTGATTTTGACAGTATTATCGAGGAGGAGGCATCCTTGGGACTCTTTCTGGGGCTTGTTTACTTCGTTTGTTTGTTTGATTATTTGTTTGTTGCGCCGCCACCGCCGCCGAATCGATACCGAAGTGTGTCAGTCCCAGATGCAAAAAAAATATAAGAAAAAAAAAAGAAGAAAAAAGTTAAATCTCAGCCCCAAATCGACTTGGTTCATTGACCAGGCCGCGTCATCGTTCGTTCCACATTGCTATCGGTTTGGCCCATCTCATCATCTGGCGGCCGGCGGGCCTGGTCATCGATTTTGATAGCAGTGTAGGCGTCGCCATCTGCCCCTAATTGCTTAACCCTTGTGTGTGAAAATGCCAGACTTCATCTGGCATTCATCACGCCCTCCCTGTTCTGGGTTAAATATTTATGTTTTCCTTGGCTTTGTTTGTGATGACTTTGATTTGACAGCGACAGAATGGTTTAATGGGAAAGGGGGATTGATTTTTGCAGACTTTCTTTGTTTGTTCAGTGAATGGGAGATTAGGTTGGGGCTAGGGAGGTTCTGTATGCTTTTTTTTACAAAAAAAACAAGCAAGAAAACATTGAAAGGTGTTGATTTTGTAGGTAAAAACTGAAAAGTTTTTACTTTTTTGCTTGTTAACTAAACTATGTTACTTAATTTTAATTATATTTAAATTGTTTTTATTTTTTAAATATTTTAAATTATTAAATATATTTTTATATATTATAATTATTATTGTTAAAATAGTTTAAGTATTTTTAATTAAATTATTATTGAAATATTTTAATTTATTATTATATTTTTATTATTAAAATATTTTAATGATTATAAAAATATTTAATTATTATTAATTTAATATTTTAATTATTATTAAATTATTATTAAAATATTTTAATTATTATTACAATATTTATTATTATTTGTAAAATATTTTTTAAAGCCTCTTTCTTTGTAAATACATTTTTTCTTAATAAATATATCTGTAAATGTCTGTAAATATAAATTATCTGTCAAGCCAATTTTTAAGATGATTAATTAACACCTAAATGGCTTTTAATTGATAAATTCAATTCAGAGATCATAATTTATCAACAGAATTAATGATCAGTTCACCGAGGAAAATGCCATAAAAGGGTATTAATAAATTAAACAATTATTAATAGATTAAAAAGTACTATATGGTGACAGTATCGAGTGAAGGGTTAATGCTTTTTTGGAGCCTGTCTGTCAAACCGCAAGCGTAGTTAATTAATGTAAGCACTTTGAAGGAAACAGCTGCCGCCCGTAATCTTATTTTCCCAACATTTCTGACATCTCATACTATCAAGGTTTAAGGTGCCGACTAACGGCACCGCCGATCTTATCTCCCAAATGCATTCATTTGACTTTTAATGACGGCGGCGGCGGCATCGCCTCAAAATATTTCGCATGTAAATGCCAAAAAAAGAGTCGTAAAAAAGGCCTTCGAATGGGCAGCTTGAAAAAGGTGCTAAAATGGAAAGAAGTTAAAAAGGAAAGATAAGGTACTTCTTAAACTATCAAGTCGAGATTAACATTATTTATAAAACAATAACAGTATAAATATTTATAAGAACTATTCTCGAAAAGGGATTGAGATGCGCACAACAAACTAATAAATATTTCTACCCACATAAGTATAAAATATTGTTGAAAAAAAAGGAATAAGAAAGGAAACCAGCAGCAGAGTTCCGCTATATGTGGCCCTTTCGGCGTGTGCTCCACAATATTTCATTTCCCATTTTCCATTTTCTTCCCCCCTCCCCCCCCAGTAGCCAAACAAGGTCCACCCTTAGCCAGCGGCCAAGGAGACCGACGTTGGCATTTTCAAGTGTCTAAGCCATGAATTTATATTGCTCGATTTCGATTTAAAAGTATTTCGGTTACATAATCTCGGCATTTTTATCACATTCCAGCCACTGTTTGATGCTCCCGGCCAAAACTTTCCTCGATTCGTCTCCCAAAACTGACCTCCTGGCTCCTCCCAGAAGCCGCCACCCATCTTGTTGTGGTGTAAATTGCTCAATTATAGGCAAGGCAAGTTTGTATCTGAGGGCCGGGCCTCCTCCTGGGCGAGTGTATCTTTGTATCTTTGTATTGTATCTCGGCATGTGCGAAAGTTTAGACGGCAAAGTTTCGCTTTAAGTTGATTACTCCATGATTTTCAGTTGACCAAACAGCATTTTCCGTGGTCTCTCTCGCTGGCGGCAAATGTGTGGAAATGGATTTTGGAATTGGTTCAAATCTCGGTCAAAGGAGTGAGTATGTTATGCATTTTCCAACAAACAACAGCGAATGCAATAAGCTTGGGAAAATGAGAGGGAAAATAAATATGGCTGTCCCACAAAGAAGGGATGTTGGAAACTTAAATCAAACTCGAGTTTTCCCTGAAAATTCTGGCAAGTATACTAAATATTACTTTAGTTTATTAAGTTTTCTTTGGTTTTTAAAATTTTAAGGGTTTTATATTATAACTAACAAGTTCAAACATGAACAAAATAGCTCAAAATCTGTAAAAATTTAAACTAAAATTAAATCAAAATTGGATTTTCCCCAAAAATGCAAATGACAAACTAGTTAAATGATTTGAAATAAGTTTTCTTTGGTTTTTATAATATTCTGGGTTTTATATTATAACTAACAAGTTCAAACATAAACAAAACATCTCAAAACATCTTTAAATATCTTTCCTTAAAGTTACTCAATCTATTTTATTTGTTGTCAACAATTTTAATGGCATTACGTTAGTCCCGTGTCAGACCTGCGACAAAAAGTGCAAAAAGAAAAGCACAGCAAAAATCACGATCAATCGCTTAAAGTTTAAAAAACGTGAGCTTAAAAAACCAGTTTTTTAGTCTGATTTTTTTGTTTGTTTCGTTTGTTTTTTTTTCCTTTTGCAGTCTCTGCCTTATCGCACTCTTTTGACTATATAATATAAAGGTCGACGTATTTACTTCTATTTACGCCGGTACATAGACCGGCAGCCTGGGTTTTCGGCATAAAGCCACGCGCCAGATATGCAAATAGACGCGACAATATGAGCTACAATGAAATCTTGTTACTTTTTACTTTTCAAATGCAAAGAAGACACACAAAATGATGGTTGCTTTATATCCCCGGCTCTGTTGATTTAGGCAAATTCGCATTTTGGCCGCAGCCGGGAAACTTTGTGCCGGAAAAACCGCGGATGTGGTTGTAGATTTCGATGTGGGATGTATACATTGATGTTTGTGGGATGTGCGCGATGCGGGCCACCCCTTTTCGGCGACTTGCCTCGAAACAATTTGCCCAGAATTCGGAGGTCCGTCTTGGGATAGTTACCCCGAAAGAAAAAAAAAAAATAAATAAAAACAATAACAGCGTTACTAGAAAACACAGAGTGGCCTCCATAAAGTAAACCAAAACCAAGTAAAATAAGAAATACTTTAAACAAATAAAAGAGAAGAGTATGTAAAATTTTTTAATTTTGTATTATTTATTTATAAATAGAAATAAAAATTTATTTATAAATTTAAGGGCTAAGAATCTAATTTTTTATTTAAACAATTTGAATTTAAATTTCTTATTTTCTTCAATGTTCTTTTTGCTTTTTAAGCTTTATAAATCTTTAAAAATCCATAAGTACGCTCTTTCAAGACCTTCATAGCCTGGGCCCACTGTACTGCGAGGGGAGGAGGTGCGGGGAAAGCTGAGACAAAAGGCGCTTCATCAGCAACAACAATGACAGCTAACAAACAACCGTTAAGTGCCGCAACAAATCGCCAAAAATTGAAAATGGTGGGAATACCGTTCCATTCAGGGACGCCGCAGAAGCCACACAGCTCGTACACACACACATAGCTACAATCTCGTTTTTGGTCCGCTGTGGGACCGATGCACTGAGAGAAAGCAGCACCCAAACAAAATATTATTATTATAATTTAAGTCGAAAGCTTGCTAGGCAGTGAAGAAATTCTTGATCAGCATCACAAGCCGAGTCAATCTAGCCGCAAAGAAAGCTAAGTTTACTAATATTCTATAAAATACTCCACAATGGGCAGTAAATTAAATTTAAAATACAAATTAATTTCAGTATTTAGATTTATTATTTTTATATTAATACTTATTTTAATGTATTTTTGGCTTAGTTATAGATTTTGTAAGTATTAATTTTCTCAAAAATGATATAAAATGTGAGATAAAATTTTAAAAATTATCCCATAGTCGCTTTCCGAATTAAACTTTATTTATGAATTTTGTTTCCCCCAGAATTCCAAATTAAAATTATAAAAAATTTCTATAGTTGAAAATATTATTTGCATTATTAGTTATTAAAAGCACTAACTATTTCTCGCCGTGTTGGACAAGAGAAAGATTACCGGGCACCAGGGCTAAATAAAAGACAATAAAAACAAATAAAAAGTTTTTTCAAATGCCATTTGAATTAAACTGGAATCGGAGCAAAAAGGAAGCTGAAACAGTTGCGAAAAATAAACCAAAAGTAGCACCAAAAAGTAAAAAGAAAACAAAACAAAGAAGATGTAGCGTCAAAGCAAAAAGGAAGTGATGACTGTACGGGTAAGCCCCGACCAAAGAATTCTCTTAAGCGATTCGCATGCTTCTTGTGTGCGCACAAGTTATGTTTTTCAGCTTCCTGTTTCTTTTTCTTTTTTTTTGTATCCTCGACGGGACATCCTGACTGAATAGATTTTCGTGTCATTCGGATTCTCACAACTCTCAGATAGCTACATTTATTTATTGAACTTTTAGTTTTATTTCTATAAATATATATTTACAAACGTGCGCAAAAAAAAAGGAAAAAAATAATTTTAGTCACGAAAATAATTTATTTTAAAGGTTATTAGCTTTCCAAGTGGCTTGTACTTATATCTACTGCCTCTGTGGATCACTTTTAGCCGAAACTATATCCGTTTACGGTGACTATTAAAGCAATTTACTTGGGGCTCTTCTTCGCGTTGCACCCTTGGCGGTCGTATCAGAAACTCAACTGCAATTATGCCTTAATATTAACTTTCTTATTTATATATTAATTTGTAAACACTCTCACCTGGCAGCGCATGATAGCCCTCGGAATCGGCTATATAGCATCTCAGCTCATAGCCCAGACCCTGGGCCAGGTGACGGGGCTGCACGTAGAAGCCCTCGACCACCCGGCCATGCTGATCCTCAGAGTAGTAGCCCTTCTCCCAGCGACGGACGCCATGGGGTATGGCGTAACTAAAAATAAAAAATATTATAATGTATATTAAGATAAAGGTAACCTGAGGACTTGCCCAAAGATATAGCTGCCATCCTCGTTAAGGTCGTAGAAATTGTCGCGCCAGGGATTGTAGTCCTCCTCTGAATCCTCGGTCTCACCAGCTGAAGGCTGCGGCAAGAAACCTGGTAGCTGAGGTTGAGATGGAGGCTGAGGTTGAGGCTGAGGCTGAGGCTGAGGCTGAGGCTGAGGCGTTGTATTCTCCTCGGTGGACTCTTCTTCATCCCCTTCACCATCCTCCTCCTCGTTGGATTCCGGATCTTGGGCAAACTGAGCCCGTGCCTCGGCCCCCGTGCTGGGCGCAATTATTCCTGGCCGCCTTGCCGTTGATGGAGGCGAGAAGGGCGTGGTGGCCAATGGGGCAAAGGCATTGGCCAGCTGCTCGCCGAGTAACTGCTTCAACTGTTCCCGCATCTCCGCGCTGTTCTCCTCGCTGCTCTCCTGGCTCTCGCTACTCGCTAGGCCACCCCCATCACCTCCTCCGAATCTCTCGAAGCTCTCGCCATCGAAGTTGGGTGTCTGCAGATCCTGTCGCGGCGGAGCAGGCACTCGACCCGGCGGCGACCTCTGTCCGGATGTCAGGAGCAGAATCGAGAGCAGCAGGTGAATCTGCAGCGAATACCGAACCGATGGCATCTTGGCGCTAACTACTGTCCCCCCCAACCGGAGTACACTTTTTATATGGCCGCATGGGAATGGAATTGGTTGCCTGGGGTGTTGCTTGGCTGCGGACACTGGCCGATGAGCTGGCGGGCCACAAATCAGCCGGAGCCGAAGCGCCGGCCGAGAGTGCATAAATCTATGGCTAACAAAAGACGGAATGCGCGCGACAAATTTGCATTTCGGCCGGCGAGCTTTGGAGCAACAGATATGGATGCGTATCTCAGTATCTGTCAGATACAAGCTGGCCAGTTGGAGTATAATCTAATCTATCCACGAGATGCAAGAAATAATAGCAGCACTGTCACATTAAATATTCTAGAGGTTCTAAGACTAGGATTTTGGCTTTTAAAAATAAAAAGAAATGTATGTTTATTTATAATGTAGAAAGAAACTGTTTTGTTGCTTCATAAATATTTTATAAATATGAATATCAATTTATTTATCAATTTCAGGGTTAAGAATCATCTAAGAAAATGCTTTTATTTTTTATTTAAATATTTTAATGTACCTTTCTCATTTAGTTAAATGTTTTGCCTGCTTTTTAAGCTATATAAATTTTTAAAAATTCCTATTTACACCCTTCCAACACCTACTTATTGTGGTCCCACTGTATTGCTAAAACTTAATGGGATGTGTCTAGGAAATAGGTGTACTTAATTTACTTCGATATACTTATAGATACGTATACGTAATATACGTATACATAATATACGTATACATAATATACGTATACGTAATACAAAAGGCTAAAGTAAATTTTAAATTATTTTTTTTTTTAATTTATATTTAAATTAAAATTAAGAATGTCGGGCATTTAGATTGGGAATAAATCGCTTATTGGCCGTTTTTTGGTTTCCTATTTTAAAGCTTATATGGTTTGAATTTACTTTTTTAACATTTTTAACAAAAAACACCACAAGTAAATTACTGAAAAACCCTTTAAAAACTGGCTAAGCACAAGCACCGCTTAATTATACAATTTAAATCGGTTCTTGGCTGTGACAACGCCCACGGGCGGTCCAACCAGGCTGGGTGGTGGCCTGCTGGTGCTCCCCAATCCAAATTGGGTCATCCGAGTTTATCTGCGAGTGCTGCCTACTTACGGGCATATCTTACCGGCAAAGGGCATATTTTTGGGGCTTTAATAGCAATCCCACAGTTTCACATGGAGCAGAGACAAAAGCCATCATTTACATTTCCACCAAATGAATTTTTATTCGATCGTATTTCAGTTTATTTTACATGCATTCATAGACACACACATTTTGCCCTCTTATCGCTTATTTAAATCTATATATTCTTCGTTTATTTTTTTGGTAATTATTTTATGCTCGTATTTTTTTGTCGCTCGACAATTTACAATTACAATGCTTGCAGTCATTGAAAAAAAAAAAACAAAAAAAAAAGGACATGAGAACAGGTTTCTCTCTATTTTTATCCTTTGTTCTGGGCATTGTTTATTTCGATACTTTAAGTATTTATTTATGTATATGTTTTTATATAAAAAAAAAGTATCATACATTTGACTTAATCCTACACATATCTGGCTTATAATACACTTTTTCCTTCTGTAGATTTTGTATTTTATTTATAGTTTTTAGTAAAATCGCTAGTTTTTCTCTTAAATTGTAGCAAGAAAAAAGGTTATAACAAAACGAATAAAATACAATTAACAATTACAACTAGTTCATGGGTTTTTAATACATAAAAGCAAAACCTAACAAAGGGATTCGTTTCGGATATGACCAAGTCGGTTTGGTTTCTTTAATTTATTTATTTATTTACAAACGGAACGGCCCAAAACAATACCTATTATTTGTGTTACTTCTGGCTCTAAAAAAAATATAGAAATTAAACTTCAAGTTCACAGTTCATGTTGACCAAGAAATTGACTTTATTTGAACAAAAGTAACTGCGATTGGAGTGCCCCCAGAGAGTTTTCCTCAAGCTTATTCTGTTTCCGCTTCGAGGGCTTCCATGTGACTGATTTCCGTGCTCAAGATGATGAGGGTTCTGTCGGAGGAGCGCTCTCTCTTTAATCACTCTAATGATTTGAAGGAAAAATTGCAGCGTTGCACCATTATCATTACCATCAGACATCGGTCGGTCCGTTGGTCCTTTGGTCCTGTCATTTACTCCCTTTACACACCCACAAAAGCATCGCTGCCCCTTAAATTCAATCAATCAAATGGATTTCCCACGCCGTCGCTCATTGTCATTGTCATCTTCATGTTTTTTTTTTTTTTTTTTTGATACTGGCAGCTGCGACAATATTTACGCCATCGGAGTAACCACTCAGGTTGCTCGGATGATCCACGGGGAATGGGAATCAGGGCCCCAAAAAATATCCGTAAGCCCGAAAGTAACCACATTACGGTGACCACGCTAATTGCGGACTGACGGATTCGAGAGCGAGGCCAGGAAAACTTTTCCACAGGTGCGCCGGAGTAAAAGTGGTCTGTGTGTGTGTGTGTGGGTAGAGACAGAGAGAGCTAATTTATCTAATTGAAAAGATTTAGATAGCAGATGAACCAGAAAGATTGTGTCCCCGGTCTGGTTGTAACCCATGAAAATGGGGTGGAAAAAGCAAAGCTCATTTGAGTTTAACTTTAAATAAAATCTCTGTTTGTTTTAAGGTACTTATAGTATAAAACATAGCTAATAAATTTGTGTTTTGTTATTTAAATAAAATTAAAAAAAAAAAACCTTAAGCTCTCTTAAACTTGACACCTTTTTATGGGGTTTTTTAAGAGACTTTTAGGACTTAACTATGCAAAATCCGAAACTCCTAAGTAACCACATATTTTCCCCCTATTTTTTACCTTTTTATATACAAGAAATCCTTTCAGTTTCTCAATTTTTAGCTACCTTCACACAAATATCACCAAGTAAAACATATCTTTTGTCCACTGGTCTCTTAATGGGTTAAGCGAATGAGACTCGTTGCCAACCCAAAAATGGCTTAGCCTTTGTTGTGGAGCAAAAATTAATTTCATAAACCGAGTTGGAGTGGGGCGAAAACCCCCCAACGAAATCGCTTAAAAAACTATTTTCACGAAAATTGCTTAGCTCTCGACCCGGAAAAACCCTCCGGACCCAGACCGAAAATAGAGCTCCGAGCACGTGCCCGTGATGGATGGACTCCGGTGGCGACATCGTCGTGCAAATGGACCACGTTTGCAATGCATGTAAATGAACAGGTTCCTGTCCAAGCCAAGGAGTTTTTTTTCGGGTAGCCAGAGGGAGGCTGCTGCTGGGATCCGATAACAATGTCCTGGGACATGTTGCTCATACGCCACGTTGTCAACGGTCTGCTTAGTGTCTGCCACTCCTCCGCATTCGTGTCTCCGGAACCAAGTCCGCATCCGAATGGGTTTCTGCGTTGGGCATTGTTTTCGAACAGAAATGCCATTGAATGTCCGGCGAGTGTGCTGCGGTCCGCTGGCCCAACAACTGAAACAGCTCCTTGGCTTTCCTCGAAAACCCCGGCTATTGCAAAAAGGCAGGACGAGGCCAGCGGACCGACACATCTTCCATTTGTCTCGCTCAGTCACCTCCAGAGCCATGCATTTGGGGGGGAGCTTATCGGTGTCTTGAAGAATTTTCATTACACTTTAAATGGAAGTAAAAATTCAATTTGTAGCTACTTCTTCATTGGGAAATCGTAAGATAACTTTTGAAATGTAACTTGTTAAAATAACTTTGGAAAACCAACAATAATACATTGATCTCTTGAAATTTAATGCTCAACTTTCAGTTTTCCAGGAAGATATGCCAAAACAAAGCTAATCCCCCACCGATTCTTGGGTAGTTTAGTAGAGTTTAACACTAATTTCTCAGCCTATTTGATAAACATTTATTTATATTTTGTTTGTAGCCTATGTTTGGGTTTCCATTCGATTTGTTAGATTTGTTTTCATACTTTTAGATCATTCAAAAAATAAGCAACTAACTCTTGAAATCTTAAATTGTATGTAAATTATATGAATTAATTGAAAATGAAGACTTGTACTTTAAAAACATGCCTTAAATGGTGAAATAAAATTGTTGAAAAGGGCTTCGCAGGATAATAGTCACACGAAAAGTCACACAGAAATGTCCTTAACTGCAGCCGCTTGAAAATGCCGCTTTCACACCTTGCAAAAGGATAGTGCCAAATGAGAGCAGCACAGAGTGCAAACAGGATGTGTCCCTGTGTGTGTGTGTGTGGGTGGCCAAATGGGAGTAAAAGGCTTGTCCTGCACATCGTCCTTGTTGTGTCATCAGCGACGCTGCGGCTGCCGCTGCGGTTAATATGTCGCCCAATGTCCAGTTGCTGTAATGCTTCCTTTTTCCGCTGATGTTGCTCAATTTGATGCTGCTGCTGTTGTTGCTGCTGCTGCTGCTTCTGGTGCTGCCCCTGCTGCTGATGTTGTCCACATTAATGCCACTTTTGTTGCTGTTCTTGTCGCCGTTGTAGGTGCCATTGCTATTGCTCAAACAATTGCTGTTATACACTTTCATGTGGCCCTTGTTGCCGCTGTTTTCGCTTAAATTCCTTATGTTGCTGCCCCAAGCATTGGTGCTGTTGCAGCTTTGTTGCAAGTGATTACTGCTACTGCTGCTGCTTTTGCTGCTTACTGATGTCGTTCCTGATTGACGGGCAATCCTTAAATGTCAATGGGACGTCATGATAATCACATCTGGCGCCGAATTCCGTATGTCGATAAACACTTTGGACTCCTCGTTCTTCTGGGGATGCTGCTGCTGCTGCTTGTTGTTGCCGCCCGGCAGGATTGTTGTCTGTCCAGGTCCTCCGATGCCCAGGCCATGTCCCTTCATGGCCGGCAAGCGAGCAGCAATATTCGGAGGATGCGGATGGGCAGGATGAGCATGATGCTGCAGACGTTGCTGCTGTTGCTGCTGTAGATGTTGCTGCTGCTGCTGCTGCTGTGCATGCTGCTGATGCTGGTGATGATGGTGACAGATCTCCTGCGGCGGCTTGGCAGAAGGGGTCACCAGCAATCCACCGTAGTGCGAGCGAAGGCTGTGTCGCTCCTCCAGCTCCATGGACTCCTGGCGCGGCAGCTGCTGGTGATGTTGCTGCTGCTGCTGTTGCTGCTGTTGCTGCTGCTGTTGCTGCTGCATGCTGCGCCTTGTCAGTGTCCCAGCCGCCGACGGCGATCCCGATGGCTCATAGCCAAATGTGGAGAAGAATCGCGGCGGCGGCGGCGGCATCATCATGGCCCCGCCCCCCGAGCCGCAGGAGGAGCTGGACTTTTGTCTCATTAGCGAGGCAACACCGCCGCCGGGACCGGAGGACGATCCCGAGGAGGCAACGCCCATACCAAAGCCAACATTAACACCCGCTCCCGCCGACGCTCCGATTCCGGGACTGTTGACAAACAGCGATTCTCTGAGGTGTGCATAAAGGTGATAAAGGGGGAGAAAGAGAAGTGAAAGGTTTTAATATTTGTCAGTTGCACACGAAGAGGCGCTTCGGATTGTTGCATTCACAGGAAGGAAGTGGGAAGGTTACACTTGAACGAAAACTCAGGGAATCGAACCCAAGGGGATTTTGCACCTGTTTTTGGCGTTTTAATTGAATTTTACTTTGAAAGTCTGACGGAAATTTACTTCACTACGCTAGGCTTTATCTTTAGCATTTAAACAGTTGTATCTCTGTTTTTTTGAGTGCATATTGGAGGAGGAAGATAACTATAGAGATGAATAATGACATGTTGCTTCACAATTAATTGAAATGAATCCTCCAGAAAGACACAGGAAATTATACTTCCAGGAAAAATACTCTTTAAAAAGACTTGGCCTTGCAAAGGATTTTAAAATGTAGTGCAAATAGTGTAGTAAAGTTGGTAAGCAACTAAAAAAATAGAAGCCTTGCCAGCTATAAGTACACCGATTTGTAGGCATTAACTCCCCCACCCCCTTTTAGATTATGTTAATAAATTCCTCCTGGTCCCCTTTCCTGACTATAAATTAACCGGAACAACCGGCACGGGGATTCACTGTGTCTCTGACTCGTTCGCATGAATCATCTTCATGTGGGCACGTCGCCGGCATTGTGTGTCACACTGCATTCCATGTCTGACTGCGTCTGTCTGGATGTCATTCCGCCATTCCAGCATCCTGCTAACCCACTATCCTGTCAGCTAGTAGAGCCCATGCCCATTCCCGCTCCGATTCCAACTGGGACCTGTGTCGCTATATCCAATAAAGACGCATGCAAATACAAATATTTGCATCGATTTGTGTTGTCGTAGCGACAGGCGACGGCGTCCCCGTAACTTCCTGGACGCCATTCTCCGCAACACTGTCATTGTTTTTAGTGTTTGCCCGGCGTTGACTTTGCAATTTTCTGGCATCTATTTGACTGCACATACGGCATATGTGATTGTTCAGGGTATCAGGATGGGTATCAGGATGGGTATCAGGATGGGACGGTTGGTGGGGGGCAAAAATAAAGAAATCGTACGCTTCTTTTTTTGATTACAGCTACAGCCAACAAGGTTTTATTTAGTTCATAGGATCATAGGCAGTGTTTATGGGTGCTCTTTGTTGGATTTGTTTCGGGGGATCGGAACTCACCTCGTCTGACAGCCCATGTCGCAGGCATTAATTGGGGCTGCCGCCATGGTGGCCTTTGTCATCATCTCGTGTGTGGCTGTGGTGGTGGAGCTGGATTCGTCGTCATCACCGCCACCGCCGCCGCCCAGACTTGTCTGGGTCATGTCCGCATGGCGGCGCAGGATGCTGTGCTCCTTCTCCTTGAAGTCGGCCTTGCTAGATTGCGTCGAAAGAGGCACTGCCTCGCGGTAGTATCTGTTGGAGACATCGTCCAGGATCTGCAGAGAGGTTTGCGAGTGCTTTTGTCTGAGGAAAAGAGGAAATATTAGGTATTAAAGGATTTATTTATATTATAAATGATTATAAATAATAATTAATATTTATATATATCTCATTAGCTAATCAAAACCCCTTTAAATGTTGTTTAATATCCTGTGATATCATTAGTTTAAGCTGCTCCGACAGCTGGTCAATTGTTATGGAATCAGTTTCCGCTTGAAGTGTGCATCAGCGGCCACGCTGCGTATACGTAATGGGCTTAGGGATCATTTGTGTGCTTGCTCCTTGAGCTCCTGGCAATCCGATTTGGCGTAAGCTTAAACTATATTCACACACACACACCCACAGCTAAGAACTCACCTGGATATGTTCTCCCGCGAGCGACCCTTGGAGTTGCGACCCATCTCATCCAACTTGCTCTCCTTGGACTCCCGGATGTGTTCCTGCAAGGCGAAGCCAAAGGATAGAGACAGAGAGAGAGAGAGAGAGAGAGAGACAGGGGGTAAAACCAATGTAATAAGCATAACAATAAATATTTTTAATTAATTTGGCAAGGGACGGAGGCGGAGTTAAGCCCGATTCTCGCATCTTGGATATCTGCAGAGCGCGTAATATAATATCCTTGAAGCCCACTGCACCAGCCTGCATATAGTGGATTATGAGAGGGTGTCCTGGAAAGGGGAGAGGCGTGCCAGAGCAATTAAGCCAGCCGCCACCTGATGCCGCCACTCGCACCCCTCTCTCTCTCTCCCTCTCTGTATCTTCTGCAGTCATTAATACGTCGATTGTGGATGCGAGGGACAGGGGAAGGGGGCCTGGCTGGGGGAGGACAGGTCAGGGAGGTGCGTATATCCAGCAGGGGGAAGCACTTGATAGCCTGCATAAAAGGAAGCGTTAATACGTAAATACGGAATAATGAAGAACGCGGCCAGGGTAACAACGCTGATCCAGCGACCTTTCCAAGGCAACCCGCAGACCTACAGCCACACCCACTTGAAACCACCTGGAATTGCATCCATAATGGAATATACAAGGCAAACATTTCGTGCACCTTTTTATCTGTTTTCTGTTTTCTTCTTTCTTTTTTTTTTTTTTTTGCCAATTACTTCAGCAGTGATTTTTATTGTAGGATATCTCACTCAGCCAGTCACTCACCCACTCACTCCTTCATTCATTCATTTCCTCAACTATTTGACAGAGGAATATAATGGGGAAAATCAAGGGAGAACCCAATGCAAATCGCTAAGGAAATGCAACCGCCGCGACTTGGCCCCTTCTGACCAGAGAGCCAGCAATGTAATTGGTTTCAAACTCCAGCAGTCAAACGTTCCCAAGGTACACATTTCATTTCGTTTAAATATATATATATATATTTATTTTCCTCCTTCTATATAGGTAGTATATCCGATGTATATAGCTCTTGTGCGGTATTCGTTTTGGCAGCAATTCGTTTAACAAACAGTTAACTATTTACTTGAAGGACTTTGCCTTCCATTTTGCGCGATTGTCCAAATGGAAACTACTCAAGCAGATGGATTGTTTAACTTTTGTCTCTCTACTTTCAATAATACTGTTAACTATGTTTTTGTTCCCTACCTAAAACTAAGACTAAGACACTCCCCTTTTGCTGGTCACAATTAGCACAGCTTAACTTAATGAGGGGGGAACTCTGATTTCGACTTTGCGGTGACCTCAGCACGAACAATAGGGGGGAGAGGCGGAAATGTGGCTCAATATCGGGTTTTTAAATTGTTCTCTCTTATTTTTTCGAATTTGTTCAGCCCGATTTTAATGATGTCGATGCGGATTCAAATGCAAATGCAGATGGAAATGCGTTTGCCACCGCAGAACGTGAGCGAACCAATTTTTTTTAGATGATTTTGTGAAGGAACTTGAGGGGATTGGCGCTGGACTTGGGCTTGCCCAGTGCTGGGGGCGGCGGAGGCGTTAGCACAATGTCCAGTTCCATGGAGGTGGATGAGCTTCGGGCCAGTGTTCCCACACTGCCTCCGCCACTGCTGCACTGCATCGAACTGGAGCTAGAGTTGCTGGCCACACACTGGCCGGTCACCAGGACAAACTCATCGTCGAGGCTATCGCTGTCGCAGCTGAAACCGATGCCATCGTCGTACTCTTGATCCTCCATCTGCAGTACTTCTTCTTCAGCCTGATCCTCCTCTTCTTCAGCCTCTTCCTCCACTTCTTGCTCTTGCTCCTCTTCCAGCTGCAATTGATCGCCATCGTCCAGATCCAATTCGAAATCACAGTCACAGGTCTGCAGCTGCTCTGACAGCTTGGCATCCATTTGCGAGTCAAAGTCCGAGCTTGAACTTCCCGCCTTATCATCGCACGTGTCCATCCTCAACCCCACCTGGGGCTCCAATCCGTCCGACGAGTAGGAGAAATCACACATGAAATCATTCTGTAATCCCACGAAAATCGCGCTCTTGGGAGCTTCCAGTATAAAGGAATCAATGTGATAGATGCCATCGCTCAGGGCTGGCACGTCCTGTGGATGAGGCACAAACAGAAAGAGAAGACAGCCAGAGGAGAGAAAGAGAGAATGCGAGACATGTAGATAGAGAGAGGGAGAGATAGAGATAGAGATAGAGAGAAAGAGAGAGAGAGAGAGAGAGAGAGAAAGGGGAAGATATATATATAGAGAAAGAACGTGAGCGTGGGCATTTCACATCGCCGACTTAACCAAGAGAGAAGAGAGTGACAAGAGAGACAGCTCTAGAGCGAGACAACTCTACATATGCGTGTGAGACCTTGTGTGTATGAGAGAAGGATAGCACTATAGATAGAGGAGGGTGCACCGTAGGCTACATGCATGATGGATGGCAACTCTGGCTACAAAAATTAAACACAATCAAGACAATCAAAACTAAAAAGCCAGTTTGCAGATTTCCCATTATGCCAAATAGAGCTCTGATCACCTGACATGCACAAGCACAATAGACTTTTTGATATATTAAGTATAAAACCGGTTTTCATAGAGATTTTTTTTATTTTTTTATCGCAAGAAAGTTAGTCAGCAAACCCGAACTGATCACAAACTTAAAGGGTAGCAATAGCAGAATCATACGGTTTTGATACCTCGAAGGAATTTATGATCCTTAAGGTAGTTTTAAATAAAAGCCTGAATTTTTAAGGGTTCCTAAAACAGAATTTTTGTTTTGTTTTGTTTTTGTTTGTTTGTTTGTAAATCCCTTTTGTTATACATCTTAAAAATTACTCAACTTTAATATTTCCCAACCCACATTCAGTTTTAATCTCCAGCAGGACTATTGTTGCATTTGCTGGATGCCAAGTAACCCTTGTAAGACCCAGCAGGATGAGTAGTGCAGATTTGTGGCCATGACAATAGCATCACTGAGGTATACCCGCAATATGCACACAATAAGTCCCCAGCAACTCATCAGATTTGTCCCAAGGGGGGAACACCAGCTAGTTCCCGCATAGTTTCATACCGATTCCCATCCTTTTCCATTTGTCTTCGATTGGATTGCCGGCAGCTGGGCCTCTGGTGCAACAAAAGTCAACGATAATTTAATCATGTCTCTCCTCCTCGCTCTGGATATCTCAGTGGGTAACCAAGACCGAGTGGACACAAAGCCCGAAGGCTAAGCCGCTGAGAGGATTCACAAGTGCAGAGGGGTGATAGGAGAAGATCTAGAGCAGGACATGGCTTATTCCATTTGGATTGTATTGTCAACGGTTTGCCACTTGCAGCTCGGCCAATTTGTTGCGCACTTGGCGTATGAGTGATATGCAAATGAATATCCACTTCAATGGAAATAAAACTCAATTTGCGAGAGTTTGTACCATAATTAATAGATATCATTGCTGCAGATTGCAGCTGCCAACTGTCGTCCTGTCATTAAACACACACACACACACACACACACAGAGAAAGAGAGAGACAGGGATACTGAGAGAGAGAGAAGGAGAGGGAGGTAGACAAAGACGTGACAAGGCGGCCCTTCTGGGCCTGCTGAGGACGGCCATCAAGTGAGTTTGTCTGGCTCTGATTCGGCCTGCCTTTGGCCTGGTGATTTTCCCTTCCACTTTCCCCACTTTCCACTTTTCTTTGGCTGCCCTTTTCTGGGGAGTTTTCTCCATTTCCCTGGCCTCTAACAAAGTTCCGGCTTAATATGTAGTTTTATTAACCGATTAAGGCTATAAACACACCAACTTTCATATCAAGATGAGGTTTTTCTTTGTTATGCTCTTTAAAAATGAATAAATTAAGTAATTTCTTAAAAGCAAAAGCTTTAAGTACCTTTTAAAGGGTATTCTGGCTTCCCCTAACCATTTCAGAAGCCCCTTAATTCAATTGTCTCATGTTTCTGAAGTATTTGATTAGTGGTTTCGCCTCACACGAAACTGTGCCAGAAATGATTTAGCAACAATAATGGAGGAGGGTTAGGAGGGTAGGAGGATGGGTGGCTTAGGGTGGCCCAGCTTATGATATATAATCCGACCGCAAAGCAAATTTCAATACCGCGATATTGCGGCTAGCCTGTTTATGAGTTTCTTTTGGGTCTCAGTTACATTCTCTAAGCAAAAGTTTTTTGTTTGTTTTTGTTTTGCCAACGCCTTGTGCCCAATTTACTGGGGAGGAAAAATTAATTGAGTTGATAAGCCCCAAAAAAAAAATAAGAAAACCTTTTCGATTTCGAATTTCCATTTGAATCGTTATGGCTGCAATTGTAATGCCATTTCCCCTTGTTATTTAATACATTTTTAAGCAAATATTTTTTAGTAAAAATTTGTTTGCCAACAAACATAAACTCTGCTCCACTCGTGTGCGTATAGCTACGCATCCATGGAGCGATATGTGTTTGTGAAAGTTTTTGGCTTTGCGCTTCGTTGCCTCATGCCTCATGCCTGTGCCTTTTTGGCAGTCCCCGAAAAATCTGATGTGGCCAAAAGAGACAGACAGACAGACAGTCGGTGGGACGAAAGTTTGGCATTTGTTTAATTGGAATTTTTGAGGGGGTTTTGTGCGCCCGACTTGCCCACCAAGTGTTCACCTTTTGGGCCATCCTGGCCCTCGAGTGCAATTTGCAAAATTAACTTCGAACAAGTTGCCTCTAATCAGAGGCAGAGAAAGAGAGAGAGAGAGAGAGAGAGAGAGTCCTATCCCCTTACCCATACCGATCCCCATCCTTATGCCGATCCCCGATATAAATACATATACTTCCTGCCAATGTCATGAGCATCCTGTCCCGTAATGTCCCTCGTCTGGAAACCGCCAAAACGTATCTGCATCTGATGCCTTCCATTGTTTGATTGGCAACGATTTGTGAAATATTGTGCTCCGTTCGATTGCTTTTAATGGCCAAATCATATTTTATGATTATTGACAATCGCTGGCAGTATGCAAATGTGCGTAGGAAATCGTAGGAATCAGAATCAGAATCGATAACGAAATAAA